CTTCCTATCTAAAAGAAAGGTTAATGGTTTGTCCAAAAATATCAATTAATTTCAGGCCTTCCTTACACTTTTAGATCATTAAATATTAAAATTATTTGATATTGTTTAAAATGACTTATATTTATATAAGAGGATATTAATATAAGAACGAGTATTTCAAATAAAGTGTTGAATTAGACAATATTTATTTTTATTATATTCCTTATAAATAAAATTACTAGTTATATATAAATTATTATCATATTGGTAGCAATATTTAAATTAATTAAAATGGTATGCGACAAATGTCAAGAGAAACTGACTAAATTGGCCACTCCTGATGTATGGGACAAAGACAACAAAAACAAAAAGCCTGGAATGATACTTCCATCATTCAATAAGAACAAATTTGATCCGATGGGATAGAATAAATGTTAGAAATGTAAAAAAAGATAGGTTCAAAAAAATGAGAAATTCTGTCAGGAATGTGCTTACAAAGATGGCATTTGCAAGATGTGTGGAGTGAAAGTCTTAGAGACTAAATTTTATAGATAATCAAATGTTTGAATATTGGAATCATCATTCCATGAAGTATTTTTAATCTTCCAATTCCTCATTATTAACACTCTCCTCCTACTAGACTATGACTCTATCAAATGGTTTAGATCTAAACATAGGCTGTCTTCCAGTTTTCTTCTTACTGGGTTACATAATCTTTTCTTGATTCGCTTTGATTCTTCTCTCCTCTTCCTGCTTTAACTTCAAGTTATTTGAATCCCTCTATTTAACTTTCCAATCTCTTTCACATTCTTATCTCTACATTTATTATACAAATTCTTACAAAGTTTTCAACTCTATCTGGTCTAAATGAACGAATCTGCTTCAATTGTCTCTCCAAATGTAATTCAATCTAAACCAAGATATCCAAAGTCTCTTTATTTTATAAATCGTGGACTCCCTAAATTTCATTAGGGAAGTTTTCGCAAACTTCGATTATTTATTTTCTTAGTTCTTTATGATCTTTCTTAGCATTCTTCTCTGTTCCTTTTAATTACAACGTCTTAATTTGTTAACTTACATTCTATATAGAGATTATATCACTTACTTCATAATTCTTTTTCAATTGCTCCTTGTTCTATTGTAATGTAAATACTTTATCATCAAGAGACTTTTTTATTTTATTAAATTTAGTTTTCAATTCTTCCAAGTTTTGCTCTGCATCTTAAGTAGTTTAAATTAGAAATAAGTTCCTTTCTTCCAAATCATTAAATATCTCCACCAATTATGATGGTTATTTAAAATACATTTCATATTCATCTTCGAACTCCTCCAATTCATCTCTAATAAATATCAATTTGTATTTTATTACAGCTTTTTGTTGTCTACCATCTATTAAAATTGTTTATCTGTTAGTCCCTTGCTTTTAATTAATTCCTCCTTCAATCTATTCACTAATTATAAACGCTTCTTCTCCTTTGCATCATGCCACTCTTTCGGAGCCAACTTATCCAAAAATTTCTTATGATCCATATAATTATTAACAGCTTCCTCATTCCTTGTTTTCTCTGCTCTTAAACTTGTTATCTTAATATTGATAGACTTGATCTCGGATTCCTTTGCTTTCTTCTCCTTCACTTCTTAATCTGCTTTCTATTCTGCATCTAATTTTTGTTATTTATTTGTATCCAAGTACTTTTAGAAATTCTCATTGTCTGTTTCCAACATTTTCAAACTCTATTCCAATGCTTCCTTCTTCTCCTTTGACATCAACTTTAACTTGCCGATCTCCTCTTCAATTATACCGTGAGCCTTTGATACTAAAAACATTTCTTTCTTCTATTCCAAGAGTGTCACAATGGGTTCCTTTGAAACTCCCTTAGCTCTTTGTTTCTTTCTTTCCTAGATGATTTGCAATGCTTCATTTATTATTTTCTTATCCTTATCATTATAAGCAGTTTTCGATTTAAATTTGTCATCAATTTAAGTTTCATATGACTAAAAAGTAATGCAAAATTTATACTTTGAAATGCTTTAACTAAGTTCTATTCGTAGCAGTTTTCTTATCCCAAATATGCATTTCCCCATTGTTTTAAGCTTCCTACTTTTTACGATCCTACTCTCTAAACAAAAACACTTCTTCGTCAGACGGATAACGAAATGGACTTTGAATGTCACTTTTATTCACCTTATGAATCTAAGGCAATTTCTCTGACATTTAATATTATATTATTGATTTTATTCATTTGAATCTAATAAATTATCAGCATAATCATATTATATATATATATAATTTCCATATGAACAATTACCAAAAAATACTCTAAAATATGTCATTGATGGCACTGTACCTACAGCCTCCCTAAACAATCAAATACTATATAGATGAAAAATTAAAAGGTAAACTCGCTCTAAGAAATAGAGTTGAACTCTGGATAAATTTCAAGCCACGAAACAGAAGAATTAAACGAATTTAAAAAAAGATTGGTGGATTTTTGGACCCTGCATCATCAAAATACAGAGCAAAACTAATCCAAATAGAGTCACAAATTAATCAAAATGTGGGATCTCAAGTTTGAGGAAATTTAGGAATTTTAAGCCTTCAAATCATAATTTGAGCTTGAATTAATGCATTTATGCAACTATTAGCAAGATCAAACTTTAAGAGAAATTACCTAAAAGAATTTCATTGAAGTTGTTTGTGAGAATAAAAATTTATAAAAGCAATTAGAATAATTAACTAGCTCAAACAAGCTTTTAGAAGGATAAAATAAAATGCTAGAGAAACAAATAGCCGAACTCAAAAGTGAAATCAAGGATCTTAAAAATTAGATAAACTCTAATACACTCTTTTATAAGGAGAGTTAAGACTTGCAGTAGGCTAAAGTAGATAAAGTTAAATTGGAATAATACAATTAAGACCTATAGAAAGAAATCCGGAAATTGTAGGATGTAAATTATTTCGATTATAATTAGGAAATAGAACTTGATAAACAACATCTCCTATAGAATTAAGTTAGGCTATTGGAACAAAAGATGAAGACTTAAGCTGAATAGTTGGTTTAAGCAAATGCAGAAATTAAATAATATACAAATGAAATTTAACAATTGAAAGTCAAGAATTCAAAGATTATCAACTGTAATTTTGAATCTTTTGGAATAAGGAGTATTCCTGTATTCAATGGTGTGCAGTCCTATTTATATGTTACAATGTATTTATTGGAATTAATCACTCCTTTGAGTCAAATTCTAGTGGTTAATGAGAAAGTAAGTGCATTGTTATCTCAATTTATAAAATACATTAGAAAAGAAAATGACTAGATTTAATCTTCAACAGCCACTTAATTATAGGATTTTATCAAGATTTAAAATTAAAATGATAACAAGGTTAATGATTTTTTATTTTCTATAATCGATCATTTAACGAAAGAAGTAATTAAAAATGAAAAGGAAAAATCATAAATTGCATCCATTATTCAGACTGATGACTCTCCGATTTTTGATATGTTTTTCTTCTTATAACGTTTATTTCCAATTAATGTAGAAAGTAAGACTTAATAAAATAATTAGTTTTGCCAAATGAAGTCCCACTAATTAATAGCATCAAATATGTGAGATATTTCGATACAATCATTACACCATAAGGAGAGTTTTCAAAATATCTGAATGACTTGATTAAATTGGAAGGTCAGGAAAATAAGATAGATGACAACGAGGCACCAGATTTCAATTTCATTATATTTCCTTAAATTTTAATTTTCAACACTTCCGAATTATCACTATAAAAAGCAGACATTAAGATTTCTTTGATTATACCCAGTAGATCTTTGAATCCTGAATAAGTTGATAGTCAATATTAATTAATTAGCATGATACATTGGATTTAAGAGGGTAATTAAGTAAATTATTGGATTACTCTATGTAAAAATAAGACTTGGGTTGAAATCAAATAGGAAAACGCATAGATCGTTGATATTAATTCAATATTAACATTCTAATCACCTCATAATGACAAGGAATTATTAATCTATGAGAAGGTAAAAATATGAAACTAAATTATTCTGCAATGAGATCTATATAATCAATATATCATAAAAATTAATCAAAAGTCTGATAGTAATTTATTATAATGTGTATTGAAACTATTTATTTTCCAATTGTTGGATTCAACCTGATATTTTCCCACTCCAGGTGTGAATTATTTCTTGAGATATGCGAGACGAGGTTATTAAGATTTAAAAGGAGCAGTTATTTGTTTAAATGATCCAGATGGACATTATGTTTGTTCGGTAAAGGACATACTTTAGATCATTTCCTTGTTTTCTTTAAACCTGGGTTCAGCACAATCGAATCCTGGCTTCTACACATCTATTTTTTATAGATTCTTTAAGAATTTTAACTACTTTTGCATTCTATATCCAATAGTTTATTGATCCAATTTATATTGCCCAATCTCTGGACCAGAGCTCCTATTTACAGAATCTCGTTTAGAAGAGGATCTAAAACAAGAACTAACGGCTCTATTTTTCTCTCCTCTGGTAATATCATAGCTTCCTGGTCCAGCCTTACAAAGAGGAGGTTTATCATAAAATCTTTTCTCTTTGCCTCCCAATTATCCATTAATCCCTCTGTCTTACTTTCGAATCAAATCTGTATAAAGATCATTTTGTAGGTAGTATGCTGCTGGCCCGGGCATTTATTCTTCCGAGGATAATAGATCCCCTTTGCCTGTCGAACTCAAAAATGTGGCATTAGTATAATTTTTCCTTTTTAATTATTTATCAAATGAAGAGTTTTCGATTTTGTAATCTCCAGGACCAACAGAGGATTCCTTTATCTCCTTGAATCGCTCTAAGGAAGAACCGAAAAACTGGTATTCCTAGGCTTTCTTTTGAATTTTGATTGATACTCTACAATCATTATATTAGCCAGGTCCTGGAGAGTATTAATCTTTGTAGTTAATTTGTTTCATTAAACCTGCATTAATTTCTCTATTGGTTTTATAAATCAATTTGTCATAGTATGATCTAACAGTTTCAGATAGAAAAGCAGGACATCTATTTTTCTTCTTTTTTTCCTCAGCAATATTATATTTGCCAGGTCCTAGATCTGTAGATTGTTCTTATTAAAATCGAGGCTAGTTACTTTTGTTCCAAGAGATTCCTTTGGCTTACTTAGTCTATGGAATGTCATAAGTGTATGGACCAACATCTTTGATCTTCTTTTACTCTTAAAGTATTTTTTGATGTTAAGCCAAAGTTTCAATATCTTCATAAACCATTCCAATTTATGTTTTGGGTTCAGGTATAGAGTTGATGCGTCTTCTGTGATTTTAATTTCTAATATCGTCTAGTTGTTAATTTTGAAACAAATAAGCTTGTTTGTTTTGAGACTTATCCTTAAGAGTATCATAATGACCTGGACCAGGGATCTGGTTTAGTTTTATAAAATACATCTTTGACTTTTTTGTTATCTTAAAATCTCTCAATTCCACTCTTGAAGGAACTACTTCCGTTACCTTAAACTTTGACTATGATGGTGCTTTTATTCAAGTATGCTTGAACTCCTGAATCACCCATGTTTTGTTAAACTTCATATTAACCTGGACCAGGAAAAAATGCTTTTTATTTGTTTGCTATCTCTACTTATCTCTTTCCAGTTGTGAGAAAAGGAGCATAAGAATTTTTGATCTGCTGATCAGGAATTTGATACACTCCAGGACCTAAATGAGGGTAGGGATCTTTTGTTTATGTCAATCCTCTATCTTCTTCAGATAAAAAAGCCATTAGTATATTAATAAATTTTATAATTCAGTTGAAAGATTATAATCATTTTTCAAGAATGTGAAATAGAATGGGATGCTAGAATCCTCAAGTTAAATCTCTATGCATTATGGTATTTAATATATTTTTGCTTAACCTACGGTGGGTAGTTTTGGTTGAAGGTTACGATCTGCAAAATAAGAAAATAATATTAATCTATGCATTGTAATTAAAGAATACAAATATTATTATTATGACCCATCCTCAAAGCATAAAATTTACAAAATATGCATATATATATTTTTGAAATTAATCAAAATAATTATAAATAAGCAATTCCGCATTTTGTTCATTCTTTATGTTAAATATTTTGAATCGATTTTAAAATGATATAGTGTCTTTAAAAAAGACATATAAAAATTAAAAATGCTCCTTCTTCACCGTCAAAGTATAACTAAAGACTTTTGAATCAGTGTATGATATACTGGAGACATAATGTAATAAATTTAGGAAGATAAATTTTAAAATAAATGAGTTCCATATTTTAATAGATATGTAGTATTGAAGTGGAAGGTTGCATAAATATATGAAGAAACTTTGTTGAGACTATGAGGACTCTAAGTATAATTGGTGAAGGAATTGGAAGGAGAAAGAATTTTGAAATAAAAAAATTGTAGATAGGACAGGGTGAAATTTTATTAGATGAGATCGGAAATAGATTTATATAGTTTAAAAGATAGTATTATGGATTTCATTACTATAAATACGGATTATTTGAAGTGAATAGAGATATTATTAAAAATAAAAAAAATGAGAACAAAGATTTTGCTCACAATTTTGTTCTTCAGCTAGCTGCTATCACTTGGTTTAGCTATCGACTACACAGTGAACCCTGTAAATCCTGCATAAGGTGCAAATACAGCGGCTTAGGCTTAACCAAGTAATACAGGAGTATGCAACAATGGTATGCATTATGATGATTATTCATTTTAGGATTTGGATGGAATGGCTAAGTATGTGTGCCATGTATGTAAGTGAAAAATGGATATTGCACGTGCACAAAGTATGGTGGCTGCGATACAAAAGTATGCGATTCTTCAATACCAACATGCTAAGTATTGACGAATGGATAAAACTCGTATGCATTATGTTCTTATTCTTAGATACATATTATTGAGAGCAACAGGATGTAGTACTTATGCTTGGGGTGATTCAAATACATCTGTAATTTGTACATAATGTGCAACTGGATATTTCTTGGTTGGTATGATATTTAATGAATATTCAAAGCTGGAATATGTGTTCAATCAAACAATTGTGCTTAGATGAACTTAGTAACAGGTACTTGTGATACTTGTGTGGATGGTTATTATTTCACTCAAAATTTCCAGTTGTAAACTTTGCAATCATGGGATTACTTCCTAAATATCAATTAAGTTATTTGCAATAAATGTCTCGATAACTGTAAGATATGTACATCAGGGTATCAATATAATTTTATATTTAACATAGTTATACTTGTGTTCAATGTAATGATTAATACTATTGGAGTCCCACATAATCCAAGTCTGCTTTGTCCAGTTCTCAGAACGATGCTAATGCTGGATAGTGTTTGGCTTGTAGTGCAAATATAACCAATTGTATAAAATGCTAGAACTCAACAGTATGTGACAAATGTTAAGATGGATATTATTACACTGCCGCATCAGATTAAACTAATAAAGACACTTGCACCAAATGTATGGACCATTGCTTGTCTTGTTCAAATTCAGATACATGTGATACTTGTGACACTGTCAATAACTATATCTATTTACAAACAACTAACTAAAATGTAAGTTATTTATCATAATATTTAGTCATGTGCTCTATGTACTAGTATCTCAGGATGTTAAACATGCTCTACTTAAGGTGGTCAATTGACATGTACTGCCTGTTCAACTGGCTATGTGTTTGATTCAAATAATGTTTGCTAAAAATGTGATGTTAATTGTGCTTCCAACTAATGTTCTTATACTAATAATCAAGTCTAATGTAGCAATTGTGTTTAATACTACGTATTGAAATCAAGCACAAGCTGCGTTGCATGTCCAAATGGATGTTAATCTTGTTCATACAGTGATTAAGCTTAAACATAAATAACATGTGGATAATGCTTTGATACTTACTATAAAGATGATAACGGCGCATGTTTACTATGTTCTTCATAAATAACCAATTGTTAAAAGTGTAGTTACAATAGTTAAAATAATCCAAGTGTAACTTGCTCATCATGTTCAACAAATACTAAACTTACTAACGATTCATTATAGTGTCAGTCAGCTCCAGCAAATTGTCTTAGTTATACAGTGACAAGTTCAACAAATACAGCTTAATGTAGTACTTGTGCAGATACCTATTACTTGGATGGTGGTGCATGTTTAACTTGTACTTCAGCTTCAGTTGATGTAAACGCCTTAAGATGTTCAAAGGCCAACGGCACAATTACTGTTATTTAATGCTAGAATGGATATTTCTTATTTAATAATGCTTGTGTATCAGCCAAAGAATAGAACACTTAAGCTACTAATCTGACATTAGAAACTTGCCTAACAATTGCTACTGGTAAATAATGCGCATCTTGTTTGCCAGCCGCTTTGGGAACAAATCCTCCTTAAAATGGAGTATGTTCTTATTGCAACTGTAGTTCAAATAAGGGTGATTGTACACCAACAGTTAATGGAGCAAATTCTAGTGTGACATGTTCACCTAATCCAACTTGTTTACCAGGTTTTTACCTTAATGGATAATCCTGTCTTCCATGTCAATCAACAGCAGGTAATATTACCGGGTAGGAAACCTGTTGTGGTCTTGGATTAATTTTTAAATCTGGAGCACCTAATAGCTGTACTCCATAAGGTGCAACTGGAAAGTAATAACTATTGGCATCAAATGCAAGTGGTTACACTTGTGATATTGGCTATTATTATAACACTAACAACAAAGCATGTGAGACTTGCATAAGCAATTGTGATTCTTGTGCCGATGCTACCACATGCAAAACATGTTCTCTCAACTATACATTACTCAAAACTAGTAATGGTGTATCTTGTGTGTTGATCAAGTGTCTTGTAGTTGATTCTACTAAAGGATGCACTGCTTGCTAATATGGATTCTATTTATAAAATATCAATGGCATTGGATATTGCTTGTAATGTTTATCTCCATTAACTAATGTAATATCTAAATTTATTTTCTATTAGTCAATTTGCAGAGCCTATTCCAATTAAGCTCCTAATGTTACAGTTACACCTGCAGCTTCAGTAGCAGTATCATCCAATCCATCCTATGTTTGTGCCAATGGATATTATTGGAATAGTTAATACTGTTCTCCATGCAAGGCAGTGTCAACTACTGGTAAAAATACTTCTCCAAATGGATATTGTATATGCTCAACCTACATGGACTGCACATCTATTGTTTGCAATACAGGATATGCTTTAGTTTAAAAGTATAAGATATTATTTATTCATTAGCACATGCCAAGAAATTCCAAAGGGATGTTCTACATATGTAATTAGTAATGACGGTACTACTTTAATATGTACTGCATGCACTGCCTCATATTCACTTATTTCAAATATTTGTGTACCAAGTCAAAATTGTCAATAATTCAGTACTACAACTGGTAATTGTTCTTAATGTGCCTCTGGATACTACTTGAATTGGTAGTATAACTCTTTTGTTTCATAAGTCTCAACTGACGCAAATCCATACTTCAATAATTTCCCATCTTAATGTTCAGCCTGCACTATTTCTAATTGTATGACATGTACTGGTCCAACAGTTTGTACTACTTGTCAAACAGGATACTTCTGGCAAACATCATAATATCTTTAATAACCATCAAATGGATCATAAGGAAGTTGCCAACCATGCATGTAAGGGTGTTAAACTTGTTCAAATAATCAATCATGCTAAACTTGTTTCTCAGGATATTATATGGTCTACCCATATTCAGGAATCAACTATTGCTAACTTTGTTCAACTGTTGCTGCAATATCAAATTGTTTGACTTGTGATACTTCCTAAACCGCTCCACATGCTTAATCATTAGTCCCAACTTGCAGATCATGCCCTTCTGGATATTACTTATATAGCGGAAAATGCGTCATATGTTCTGGTGGATGCTTAGCTTGTGATGCTGATAACAGTTGCACATAATGTGTCTCCTAAGGATATGCTTATGATTAAACTAATAAGAAATGCGTCGCTTGTTCTACAATTACAGGATGTACTTCATGCTCCTACAGTGGAACCCAGTTAAATTGTTCAGCTTGTGCAGATACTTATTATCGTAACACCAACAATAACATTACAACCTGTTCATTGTGCAGCTCAGTAGCTGGTAAGAACTATTTAAGATGTGTTTCATCAACAAGTCCAACACAATGTTAAGATAATTACTATTTGAATGGATCAAGTTGTTTGGCTTAAACCAACAACAAATGCTTAACCTATGATGGCTCTTCAGGTTGCACATCTTGTGTTACTGGGTACATTATCGTTGGTAATTCATGTTAATTATGTACATCAACAAATGCTCAATGTGTGAAATGTCAAGTCATCGCCAACACTGGATCAAGTCAATCTGCTTCCTTATAATGTGCTGCCTGCACAACTGGATATTATTTGACCACATCATTTGGATGCACAGCCTGTCCCAATGTCAAAGGATGCGAAGCTTGTAATTCTGCTGGTTGTTAAATCTGTTCCTCTGGTTACTATCCAACTGCAGTTACAACTGATTCCAATAATTCCACTGGTACAACAACCTCCAATAACACTGTCACTTGTAACAATTGTGTCAGCAACTGTTCTATTTGTTAATAAGCTAATGTAATACAATTTACTTATTTTTAGTCTTGTACCAAATGTGCTGATGGCTACTTCCTTGTTACTACCACTTCCTCTGGAACTACATCAGTCACTACCAGTAGTTGCTTTGCATGTCAACCAGAATGTCAAACTTGTGTCGCTCCAGGCACTACTTGCACATCCTGCATAGCTGGCTATGTGTTCTAGAATGGAGGTTGCGTCACTTTAACATAAGCTAATTGTTACTCCGTTGGAACCAATGGTTGTGATATTTGTAAATATGGCTACTATTTAAATAATGGAGTTTGTTACTAATGTCTAAACCCATAAGCAGATGTATTAATTATTTTCATTTTTTTAGTTTCTATGTACAAATCCAGTAGACAACCTTTTAACATCAGCAACAACAACATAATAGTAATGATGAATTAAAATCATAATCATAATCAAAATAATTATATTTTATTTCCAATATAGATATAGATATATATCTCATGATTTCTCCTCAAAAATCACACGCGAAGGCTTTGGGTTCTATATCCAATTATGTCTGTATAAAGTCGTTCTCTAACTTCCTGCGATTTAACTAAAATTCAATCTAATTATTACCTCTCTGCAGCAATATACCAAATCGCTGAAACAGTCAAAATATTCAACTTTCCTATTCTATTTGTCCAATACCATCCTCTTTATGCGTAGTAAACAACTGCGCTGTTCTAAAATCGTGCAATTAAACTTGAATTCATTATAATTTTATATTAATAATAATAATATTTATTTATTTCTCTACTCTCTACATTTTGATCCATTTGCTGTCCAATTTTCAAAATTTAATTTAAAAAATATTGCATCATCTAATTAGACTTACATCAACCAAATTTCCCTTCACTTTAGTACTCTTTAATTAATAAATTTCTTCCTTACTTCATTGATTGATTGTAATTTAAACAGTGATAAATTTAATTTAGAAAATCAATAATATAATATGATGATTGAAAGAACTAACAAAAAAAATAAGCTTTGTATTTAAGTTATAAATGGAATACCCTAATAATTATAATTTGAGTATAAAATAAGAATTATTTTGAAAAAATAGAATATTACAAATAAAAAAATCTAAAATATTTTAAAAAGTGTGAAATTTAAGAAACAAAATTTAGCGCCATTTTGTTAATATAATTAATTTTATCATAGAATTGCCATCGTGTTCAGTTCTGCAATGACTAAATATCATCTTAAATTCATTATTTGATTTGTAGTAGCTGATTTTTCCAAATTATCAACATAATTATATTTTTTACAATTTTTGATAAAAATCTTAGAGTTTTATCATCAATTTTGAATCTGATTTTTAATTTCTAGAATTAGATATCAATAAAATTTTAAATGTATTTATTAAACTACAGTCGGGCTTATTCATGTTAGATAAAGATCATTTCCAAAATAGTTGATACTGCTTAATCCAATTTTTTAGGTAGAATCAATTATTATTTTGAAAAAAATAACAAAATAATTCTAAATACGAACAACAACTTGCTCCTAATGCATTCAAGAATGGGAGGGGAAATTACAAGCAACAAAACACATTTGAATAACCTTCTTTCTCTAAATATAAAAAGAAATATTAATATATACTGGTGTCCTTCTTAAAATAATAAAGGAGTTTACAAAGGCCTCTTAGTTTGATGGTACTTTCATTCTTTTCTATCGACAATGGCAGTCGCCTATAAACTATATCGCATAATCATTTTAAACTTAACATTACTGATCAGAATAAGTATTTGAGAATTTTATATATGAATATAAATGACCTATTATGTATAATTACAGCAAAAGTGAACCTATGCAAAGACCAATAAGAAGTTTACAATAACATAATTATGGAATATATTTGTGTAGGTAATTGATATATTGGAAAAAATCATGAGGTTTTTCATTATTTAAATTTTTTGATGATCTTTTTGGCCAAAGAGTGTTTGAATCTTAAAAGGTTGAGCTTACTCATGGAATCAGACTTAAATTCAAAGACAAAAAGGTTTTAAGTCTAAGCTAGATTCAAAGGTTAATTAATTAAGACAGTTCTTGGTTCTTCAATAATTTCATCATTCTCTTAGGTTTTATTTAAAATTTTTGTGTCCTATTGATCTGTTTTCATTAGCAAGTATAAATTTACAGAAAAAGTTTTCCTTAAATAAATTATTAAAATAATTAATATCATGAATGTGTTATTATCATAAACATATAAAAAATTTTTATGCTGCAAGTATATTAATTTTATTATTTCTTCCATGTAGAAATACTGAAAATAATATAATTTAGAAAAAGTGAAACTTCTCTAAAGAATTAGATATAAAATTATTTCTCTAAGTTTGAATTATATAAACTCGGATTTTCGAAAAGCTGGCTTCAATATAATCTAAATAAATTTTTCCATCTTAAAATGTCTTGTGACTAAAGGAAATTGTTTTGAAAACATAATCAATCATATTCATGGCATATTTCATTGAAAATTTAGAAATGTATCAGATTATCACCCTTGTTTACTTGAGTTTGTTAAAGGGTGATTATTGAGAGCCTGAGAGTCCGACTTGATTACGTATCAATTTTTCATAAGGTTTCAACCATGACTAAGCATTTAATTTAATTATTAATTTTTGTTGTATATAATTGATGATATTTGAGTTGATAATAATAATATATTTTTATAGGAAATATGACTAGTTACAAAGCGAATATGAAATGATATGAATTCATTATGTGGCAGATTCTAGCAATTTGACCAGTTTAAAAAGCTTTGATACTTCACCAACTTTGGAAAATTCAATACAGAATGCTTATAACTAAATTTCATATATTCTTACATCGGTGAGAATGTCCTTGGTGACAAATGCTTTTTGTTTGAGCATCTACTAAATAAAGACGGAAACAAACCTAACCAATTTATTTTGTTATTATTTTTCCTATAATTCATAATTTTTGAATTACCTTGATGTTATTACAGAAGTCTATACAATAATTAATATACTGCGTGATATATTCTTATGGTAATTTGAGTTCCCCAAAGAGTTAGGCGAACAATTCAAGGGTATTCTGGGTGACATCAATTTAGATGAAGACTTCTAAAAATCTAAAATTTTATTTAGTTAATACTCTTCGAAGCCATCTAGGTTGCATATTTAAATCAATAAAAAATGTGCAATCTCTTTATTCTTTTCAATAATGATTGGTAACCTTTGACAAGTGAATCCGCAATTTTTAAGCAAATCCTTTTCATTAGAGAGATAATCAAATAATAGCTAAGTGAAGATACAGATTTTACATACTCTTTATTCTTCATCACTTATTTCAGTTGTACATGTTTTTTGGATGATCTCTTTGACTTGACTCAATTTATCTTGGTTAATTTCAAGAGTATAATTCCATTGGACATTCATCAGAAGTATATTGTCATTCCATGATGGATCAGATAACACAATATTGGGAATGGGTCTAAGGCAATCAGTCTGGTATTAAGCAAAATCAATATTAAGAGATTTTATTTTATCCATGTGAGTATATGAATTAATAATAAATAATCATGTTGGTACAAATGACTATTGAACAGTTAGATTGGAAAATGCATTGACTGAGACATTCATGATAGGTAAAAAGTTCCATCCTTCCAAATTGATTTTCTGAGGTAATTGAGATTCCTGAATATTAATTGGGATTTGGCAGACTACTGGAACTGACAGCCAAGTTAAGAAAGCATCCTATTGGTGATTAAGATCATTTCAATACAGCAATAGCTTCCATTTACAAAAAGTACTAGTTTCTAATAATATTAGTTTTAATAGTAGCTCTGAGATTTTTGGGTATTTCTAATAAGGCATTTTGTCTTTCCAATTTTTAACCGGAATTGACTCCTCCTAGATTCTGTTGAAATACTTTCACATTTTCTACAACCCTCTCAATTTCATCATCATCAATAAAAGTGAGCTTATTGATCAATCTAGCTTCAACTCTACTGATTGATCTTTAAGAACGAGTGTTATCCAATGTGTATTCAATTTGCAATTGTTCTCCTGGAATGAAATTGTTTTTGTTTAATTTCAATGAAAGCTCTACTGTTCCTCGATTCAAACACAAAAATTAAACTATATTTCCTTCACATTACCTAAATTGCTCGCATTCAGAGGCTGTCCTTCCATTAATAAAGACATCAGCACTTTCCATCATTAAAGTACTAGCTTCATCGGGTAGATCAACTCTCAAAGTCACCTTATATCCACATTTGGCTTGTTTCAACCCTATCTTAAAACCGAATGGATACCATCTTCGCTTTTGTACTAAAAACTTGAAGACATGTTATATTGGGTAGGGATGCTAAATTAAAATTTATAATCGGCAGGTTTCACTTATCCAGTGTATAATTCCTGGGTGTAAACGAAGGATTCATGAGTTCCATAATGTCTGATCACTCTATACATGATATCACCATTGAGCTCATATTTCTTTTGAGTTGGCTTGGGCTATCTAAATGGAGAATCCAGAGTCACTTAAATTCTTTGAGCTCTCTCAACCAACTTCTCTGGAATCATTTAAGGATTGCTTTGATCATAAGGTATCTTAAGATACAAATCTATTGAATTACCTACTTTTTGTCAATTATCTTGGAATACATTTTGGTTTAAAAAGTCAAAACTATTTAGGCTTTTGGTATTTCCTATGTTATTCTGATGAAACATTCCCCCCTGATTTGATCTCCTGCCAAAGTAACAGGATCAAAAAACTTAAATAAAACATTCCTATTCATCAAACTAATTAAAGATTTAATTTAATCAATATTCATAGTCAAAATATTCTTTAAGACACTATTCAGCTAAGTTGCATATCCTTTCGGCCCCGCAGATTTAGAACAAATTCTCAAGTTTTTTTTGAACTCCAGTCTAACAAAAGTACTAATATATTTAGGCCTTATATTGGCTTGATTGTAATTCTTTAATTATCAATCCCAAAGCTAATTGAATAAATGAATAGACTACTTTCTACAGACAATTAAACTATATTCAGATCTATGTCATCCAAACCCAAAATTACATAATCCAACAATCCAGAATCAACAATTATCAATAATTAATTCTATGTGCATACAACCAGAAAGTTTTTAAAAGCCTAATAGAGTTCCCTTCTGACATCCACAACATCATTTTCCAAAAGATCAAAAACAGCATCCAGTATTTTTTGATTCGAAACTATCTAATCCAAAATCAAATGAGAAGAGGCCATTAAATTATTGAATATCATGCTTCCATAAATTCTACAATAGGTACGCTAAGTATTCTTAAGTAACCCATAGAGGACATCCAATATTCCTAGATCCAATAATTTTGAACACTCATCAAATTCTGATGTGAATGACAAACTTACTAATATAGATAAAGACAATTTAGAGATGTTTTTATCCTTATTATTAATTAAGTTCATGATAGATTACATTATCCTCATAGTCAAAATGAATTGAATATTTTAAATGTTCCTACTCGCATTCTCAATTATCATTAAACCCTTCTCTTTTACTAATTAATTTCAAAATATCAATTACAGTTATTATCCGCACTCTCAATCAATTTGGAGGCAATTCTCAAAATAGCAATTACTTAATTGTCATCATCTATACTCTTTGTTATGCTTGCCAGAATTCTAAGTGCTTTATCGTTGTTCCTATTCACCTGTAGAGACTTTAATACACTCTCAACGATGTCATATTTTGAGAATTTGGGGGAATGCAATTCTACTAATTAATTTAAACCTCTTAATCCCTATTAACAATATTTACATTAATTGATACATTCTCTTTTAATAAACTCTAGTCAGAGTCTATCCAAGACTTGTAAATCTCACAAACTTAATCGAAATGTTAATTTACATAGATCCTTGACTTTTTCTACTTAACCAATTATCTAAAACAATTTGCTGCTTTTGTCGCAAACACAGAATACTTTGGATTCGAACCTAAACACATGGAATCAACCAATGTTTTGATTATTCTTAAATGTTCTGCCCATTCACAAAATTAAGATGGATCATTTATGGCAGTCGATTGAACATCATCTAAAATCGATACCATGATTTAGTATTCTTCATCGTTCAATTCCTCAAATCTCATCAACTTGTCCACTATATCAATTAATTATTCGATTGGATAATGTTTTACTGGGTTAGTAACTAATCTCTTCAATCTAAACGTCTATTCTAAAGTTCTCTTTCTCAATTCTGAATGAAAGTTCTCTCTCATATCTCTTAGTCTGTTTGAACTCATTTTGGAAGAAAATTATTAAAAATTCTAATTTAGAAGGTTCTATAATTTACAATTAAAATTAAGTAGATACTCCTAAAAATTTGATATCATTCTAATAACCACTATCTAATTAAACCAATAGATAGAAGAAGGAACATTTTAATGAAAATGCATGAATGAAAGAATTTATTTTTCAAAGTCAACTAAAATATATAACCAACATAAGTTCTAAAACTAGTCAAAATCAGAATAATTTTAGAATTATTAACCCTTTTTATAATGAAGTGAGAAACGAAAATAATTTCTGAGATATTGTTCATCGATTAATAAATTATTTTTGTATAAGTTATTTCTAAATTATGCAGTAAGAGTACTAATATTTTTACTAATGACTTGGCAATTTATATATTAATGGTCATAAAATTTACTTTAAAGTAATTTAGGTAGCAATCTAGAATTTAATAAAATTAATAAAATTTATAATCAAATTATATTAACTATTATTTTAAGCTCAAATTAATTGATTAATCTAATTAATTGATATACCATGATATTAGTTTAATTTATTAGATAATTATTTCATCAAAATTATATTAATACAAACTAAGTTGAAACAATTTAATAATTCATGCTATTCAACTTTTTTTGGTAATCATGTATCATCAATGTTTATCATTTTCATAAGAAATTGTTTGTTTTTAATATTCTAGAAAAAGGTACATAGTTAAAACAGATTATTAACTTTATGTAATACGAAATTTGTTTATTTAAAATCAATTACTTCTCACTTTTACTTCTTATCCGAACCAACTATTGACAATCGCGATTATTATTGTTACTATTACAATTCTATTTTCTCTATCTTTACAACTAAATCATTTAAAATTTGCATTATTGTTTATTATTTTTCTAATTCACATAAGTGAGATAAGTACAATTATAGTTTCGCTAGAATGATTTTAGTTACTCATCTATCTCTTATTTCAATGTTTCCTAATCCTTTTTAATACTTATTTCCCACTCTTACTTAAATTGATATTAAATAAAATACTCTCATTAATTGGTTCTGATCTCAATTATTTCAATTAAGCTCTAAAAATTGAAAAAAATACACTTACTGATGCTCCAATAACATATTAATCTAAACATCGTGCTTACTCAGGGTTCTTTGTACTAAATCTTCCACTTTCTCTTTGTCTACTGCAGAATACGTTCTCTAATGTGTTGACCTTATTGTTTGTCTCAATTTCAAAATCTCATTTTCAACTTGATTCTTCATCTATTATAACTATATTAGTTGTCTATACATTAGATATAAAACGCTCTGTCATTTTGGTTATCAATTCCACAAGTAATTTTTGGACTTAATCAATCAATTATTCCCTTTCGATAACATTCTAAATCTATTCAACCATTTATGACTGCTTATCTCTCTTCCCCAAATACTAAAATCCATATAAATTGATACAGAATCTACAGCTACTTATACATTCTTTTGAAATTCCCTGTCTTCGTTCATAAAATAATATTAATATATTTTAATATTAAAAGATGGGAGCCTGTTCTGGCAAATAACCACCCAAAAAATAAGTTTCTCAACCTAAACCTATTGTGTAAATTCAATCACAAAAGTAAAATTTTCTTGCCATATGGAATGAACTCGATTCATGCCTTGATCTCGTCGATAGAAATGTCGAGAATGAAAAAACCATCGCCAAACTCAAAACTCTATTTCAAACCAAAGGAACTATAGAAGAAATGATTATAAATCAAAGTAAAAGAGGAGGCAGGAATCTCAATTAAGATCCTTTATAAGACACTGCTTTCCAATATAATCTTTTTTTATAAGTAGACAAAATAAATAGAATTCTTTCCGATTATCTACTTATTGATAGAGCCTTTGAAGATAAAAATAATCAAATTTTAGATACATTGCAACAAATCGTTGATAAAATCGAACAATATCGATAATCAATAAAGACTAAACAAGGAATCTGGAAATAAAACTAAAGTACCAACTTTAGTAATACAAATGTGTATTGAACAACTATATATTTAATTAATTAATGATAATCAAATTAGGTTTTATAATAATACTTAATATAATACTAAAATTTGAGTAAATAATTTTTCTGGATCTTTGTAACATATATAGAACAATTTAAAATGTAAACTTTATACTATGTTTTCTTTGATTATTTTGATATTGATTACTAATTAAAAAAGTCTTAATCAAAAAGTAAACTATACATATCTGAAATCATGCAATATATCAATATAAATTTATAATTGTAATTTATTATTTTATACTTATTATCAAGCAATTATATAATTATTTTAATTGAATTTATTAATATTAATTTACTGAAACCAAGTCAGAATATTTCATTAAATTTATTAAACCAAGCTAAATAGTCTTCATTTTCACCCATACATTTATAAACTAATTTTAATTTTTGAATTGTATCACCTTCATAATATTTTGATTTGTGAATAAAAATAACAGATTAGATTTATAAAAATATGATGCATAAAATAGGTATCTGGAATTAATAAAATAGCCTATAAAATAAAAAAAAGTGGAAGGTATTGCTGTTATTATTTGTCTAGAAATTAGGAACAAATTCTATGAGTTTTATTTGTAAAATAATTTTATAAATGGTAAAGAATCTGCTAAGAGCTAGAGATGTTGAATAAAAATATTTTTTTAATTTTGAAAATCATCAACCTATTAGGAATTGAGGATAAATCATTATCTACTGTTAATCATTAATTAAACTTTTAGAAATTGTATGATCAAATATCTTCATCCTTTCATCCTTTCATCCTTATTCAGTATTTTATTCTCTATATTCTAATTGGTTGAGTATCAAAATTGGAATTTATATTAAAAAAAGAAGCATTAAATTATTATCGAATACTAATTTCTAATCATAATGTATGTCTTTACATTTACAATTTCTTCATAACCTAAATTATAAATATTTTAGGATGTCACTTTCTTAAATAATCAATCGTAAATAGAGGAGCTGAACTAGAGAATGTAAAAGATTGATTTAAAATATAAGGATAATTATGAATTTTTTATTATATTATTATTAGAGCAGATTTATTTTATAAAATCATTTTTGAAGAATTTTAGTCAAATTAATGAGAATTCTCGTTGATGATCTTAATTTAAATCCAGGCATGAGAATTTTGGAATAACTTTCTCTTTATTAATTCTTCCTTAAGTCATTAATTGAAATTATTATTCCATTTTCATGTAAAGTTATTTCCAGGTTCGAAAATGTTTACTTGCGGTATTTTGTTTTAAATAATCATATGTTCTCTTCTCTGTTTGGTATAATTTATATTAATTGCTTTAATCAATATGATTGAATGATCTCATAAAATATTGAAATAAATAGGTTTTATTATTGCTGCTAATACTTATGTTGTTTTTCTAGATATTCTCTATTTCCCAACAACATTCAGTCTTTCAAAGTTGGTTTCCTTTTCTCCTATTTTTGTAAATCATATTCTTATAATTCAAATATTGAGAATAGAAATTTCCCTTAAAACAGAGAATTACACTCACTTCAATATAATCTAATCCTGTTCCAAAAATATTATTAAAATTAATAATTATATTNCTTATTATCAAGCAATTATATAATTATTTTAATTGAATTTATTAATATTAATTTACTGAAACCAAGTCAGAATATTTCATTAAATTTATTAAACCAAGCTAAATAGTCTTCATTTTCACCCATACATTTATAAACTAATTTTAATTTTTGAATTGTATCACCTTCATAATATTTTGATTTGTGAATAAAAATAACAGATTAGATTTATAAAAATATGATGCATAAAATAGGTATCTGGAATTAATAAAATAGCCTATAAAATAAAAAAAAGTGGAAGGTATTGCTGTTATTATTTGTCTAGAAATTAGGAACAAATTCTATGAGTTTTATTTGTAAAATAATTTTATAAATGGTAAAGAATCTGCTAAGAGCTAGAGATGTTGAATAAAAATATTTTTTTAATTTTGAAAATCATCAACCTATTAGGAATTGAGGATAAATCATTATCTACTGTTAATCATTAATTAAACTTTTAGAAATTGTATGATCAAATATCTTCATCCTTTCATCCTTTCATCCTTATTCAGTATTTTATTCTCTATATTCTAATTGGTTGAGTATCAAAATTGGAATTTATATTAAAAAAAGAAGCATTAAATTATTATCGAATACTAATTTCTAATCATAATGTATGTCTTTACATTTACAATTTCTTCATAACCTAAATTATAAATATTTTAGGATGTCACTTTCTTAAATAATCAATCGTAAATAGAGGAGCTGAACTAGAGAATGTAAAAGATTGATTTAAAATATAAGGATAATTATGAATTTTTTATTATATTATTATTAGAGCAGATTTATTTTATAAAATCATTTTTGAAGAATTTTAGTCAAATTAATGAGAATTCTCGTTGATGATCTTAATTTAAATCCAGGCATGAGAATTTTGGAATAACTTTCTCTTTATTAATTCTTCCTTAAGTCATTAATTGAAATTATTATTCCATTTTCATGTAAAGTTATTTCCAGGTTCGAAAATGTTTACTTGCGGTATTTTGTTTTAAATAATCATATGTTCTCTTCTCTGTTTGGTATAATTTATATTAATTGCTTTAATCAATATGATTGAATGATCTCATAAAATATTGAAATAAATAGGTTTTATTATTGCTGCTAATACTTATGTTGTTTTTCTAGATATTCTCTATTTCCCAACAACATTCAGTCTTTCAAAGTTGGTTTCCTTTTCTCCTATTTTTGTAAATCATATTCTTATAATTCAAATATTGAGAATAGAAATTTCCCTTAAAACAGAGAATTACACTCACTTCAATATAATCTAATCCTGTTCCAAAAATATTATTAAAATTAATAATTATATTTCACTTTTATTTTGCAATAAATTAATGCAACCCTCTCAATATTCTAAAGATGATTACCTCAATTAATATGGCCACAAACTCTTAACAAAGACTTAAAATATTCATATGAAAACTTGCGAAGTCAAAATCCCAACAAGGAGAAATAGCATGATTGATTCATATAATTTAACTAATGACACAGATGGAATTAAAAAATAAAATATAGATAAGAATAGATCATGCAGCAATCTACAAAATTTTTACTAAGAGTTCAGTAGTTCAGTCAAATAATAGTAAAACTCTCCACTCTCTGTGCTTAATAAGAAATCTTCATTAATTATGCTTAGAGTTGAAGATAGATTAATGAACTTTAAGTTTGCTAAAGACAATGATCAGAAAATTAATACATCTACAATAGCCAAAATGAAATACTTTTGTTAAGATAACTAATTCTTTGATTTCTATAGTTGTACTGATCTTTTACTTCTTAAGTATCTTATTTATTTACTTCTTGAAGAAATCAATTCATTTAATTAAAACCAAACTGAGTAATAACCTATGCATTCTTAAAAAAAGCCTATTATAGTTGATGAGCTAAAAAGCAATAAACATAGAAATTCTATAGAAATCTTAGGCAAATAAATCAATAAGATGCAAAAATTAATTGGAGATAAATTATCTTTGCCTAATTATGAAATGTTCTCAACACCTTAATCCAAAATTAAGAAAAGTGAACTTATATATCAACCATCCAGTAACACTTAGAAACTAGAATCTGATTATAATTAAACCTCACTTAACTCTTAATAAATGATCTAATTCTAAATTGATGAATTGAAAATAAAAAATCAAACTATCACAAAATAAACTTCTAGGATTAATAGTCTAGAATTAGAACTTAAATTACTCAATAATTAAATATCTGAAACTGATCTGAATTTATAAATCTCACAAAAAACTCTAACAGTTAAAGATCAAGAAGTAATTTAATATCCCATAAGATTAGCTCAAGGATATTATAAAGAAAAATGAAAAATTAATTGAAACAACTAATTAAGCAATTAAAGAAAAAGATGAATTCTAAGAATACTATAAGGCAGCAAAGAATGATTATGAGTTACTAAGAACCAAGTTTAACGATTTGTAAATTAAGTTAAATGAAATGTAAAATTTATAGATTTAATTTAGATAAAAGAGTAATCAAAGTATCTTAAAGGAAAGTTCTATATAGAAAAAATAATTAACCGACTCTGTTCAATCATCCTAATAGTAAATGAAAAAGGAAGAATAGAAATTATAAAAAGAGTTGCTAGATAAAAATAAACTCATAGTAAATATAAATTGAATAAACTAGAGATAATTGTCTGAGGATGGTAAGATCTTAGGGTAATACTTAAAAGATATCTCTTATAAAATATAATAGATCCCTCCTGATTAAATTCCTTAAAATCTGTAATCACTTTAAAGAGAATTGTGCTTGAATGAATGTATAGTAAACACTAAATTAAATAATATGCATCTTGCTTAGATTGATCTAGTGAAATTTAACAAATCTAACAACCAAGAGAAAAAACCTAGAAAATATATGAATTGTCATAATTAATTGATAGATTAAATGAAATCATTTTAAGTTCAATCTGATCTTGTGGCAATGATGTTGGTCTAAAGTGAGATAATTGAGAAGTTTATTAGTTGAATTTGTTGCATAAAATCTAATTTAAATTAAATATAATAATAATAATTTAATTAAATTAAATTTTACGATTAAGAGGCTTATTTTGAGAAAAAGGTCTCATTTACTTAGTTTCAAAAATGTTGATTTTAACAGGATTTGGAATAATAGCAAAAGATTCATACATGTGAGAATTAAGAATAGGTCATAAAAAGGCTTAGAATTTTTTTAAGGAGTTTAATCAAAATATTAAAATTTGATTTGACTCCTTCTTGAGAAATACTAATAAGTCATTAGCTGAAAGCTATTTCAATTATTAGATGAAAAAGAATGAATACGCAACATTAATTATTAATTGGCGATCGGAAATATATAAATACAATTAATTAATAGAATTGAAGAAAATCTCATTAGATAGAAGAAAATTCTTAAACTCATTTTATAAGGGAATTATATAGATTAAATTGACAGCCCTTAAGTATTAAATAATTAATTAATAATTATAATAATTGTAGGTCTTAACAACACAGTTGAAATTTGAGCCATTGACCATCTTACTTATTTATTATTATTGATTAACAAAAACTATAATTGTTGATTAATTTTATCATCAAAATATATCAAAACTCCTCTTAAAATTAAGATGTTTATTGCTTTCAGTTGTTATCTATTATAATGGAATTGATAAATATGAATGAGGAATTATATAAACGAAGATTATATTGTTTAATATTTAACTTTAAATCTGGCTCAAAATTAAACATTAAAATGATAATAATTTATCAATATGTGAAATTTCATCAAGAAGGTACGAGTTAATATTAAAAATTTCTATTTAATATCTTAAATTGTTTATATTTAATTGATTGTGCTGAAATTTATTGGAAGAACAGCGAATAATTTTTGATAGGTTAGCAAATGTAAATTATTTTTGTAAATTTGTGAATACTGAAAATTTCATTTTAACTTTTAAATGGAAATTTTTATGTTTTTATTTTTCATCCTTTAATTAAAATAATCATATCAGCTGAATTTTAGTTGCAAATTTATTTTTATCAAAGCTTAATAACGATTTTACTTCAATTTAAATATTTATTCTTCTTATAATATGGGTCAGCTGAAACATTCCTTGTTAATTAAACAAATATTGATGATCTATAATTTTATAGAAGTTTACGAAGAACTTCATGTATTATATTCTAGAATATATTGAGGACATTATATTCTAAGTCAATTATCCTTATTATGTATTTTGGATTTAATAATCATCCTAGAGCTTTTTCTAAGCAATTCAAATTACTTCAATATTAAACTACATTAATAAATGATCAGTCTTTGCCTTTAATTTAAATTCTGTCATATATAAGGGATATAGGAATCAAAATTAATATATATCTTTAAGTTTATATACGTGAATATTTTGCATTCAGATATTTTGATATGAAGTATTTATTGGATTATTAATATTTGAAGAGGTTAGCATGATTTATTAGTTTATATAAATTAATTCAGAAATTTCATTCTTTAGTGTTACCAGTTAAGATATTTTCCTTATATTTAATTTAATCCATAAATTGGTAATTTGCAATAGGTTTAAGCGCTTAAATAAATTAACTCAGGAATATAAAACTTAATAAAATGAAATCTCTAAAATTAATTTGTAAAAGGGTTCTTCCATTAGATCATAGAGGTATATAATGGCTCAAATTTAATTATCCTTATAATAGTTTCCTAATCAAATTTTTTAAATTCATTTGATATTTCAAAGCAATCTTCGAATTTAATATTGAAGCTTTATTATAAGACATTGTATTAAAATTAACCAAAAAATGATTCAGAAATCAATCTTTTACCAACATTCTCTATGATAGTGTAAATAATGTATGACTGAATAAAATTGATGAATTTCAATATCTTATTAATTTTTAAATCATTTTTAAATAAGATTATCTGGAAGTATTGCCAAAATACACTTTTTATTTTGAAAATAACTTACTATAATTAGATTACTAATCCATAATTAGTTAGAATTAAAGTTAAGAGGATAGCTTTTAATCAAGAATTTTGTTACAATATTTGAAATTTCAAATAATTTAATTAAGGTATCTACAAACAAAGTATTTAATTGATATTTCATTAGGTTCAATAATACAAAGTGAGATGAGGATTAATTTTAAAATAACCTCGTTATGAAGTCAGCAAAAAGGCATAAATTAAATTTCTTTATTGAAAACCTCTTTAATAGTTAATCAAACCTGTTTAATCATTAAGTCAAAATAGTTTAATTAAAATTAATTTCTAATTTCACTTTACTACCCTCAAAGATATATAAACTATAATATTCTTGAGTTTGATATTCTAAAGAATTAAAATTTGTAGTTTATTAGTAAGAATTCCTTAATTTCCATTTCATTCATATTTTTATTGATTCGGTCAATTTAAATTGGTAATAAAATCCAAAATAATTTAAAGAATTATTTAAACTATTAAATAGATATCATATTTATTGAATTTTGAAACAATTAAAGAAATAAACTTAAAAAATGCAAAGATATAGGGTACGTCTCTAATTAAATAATCAATAACATTATAGTTTTGATTGATTTGACTTTGTAGATCGTAGGAGACCAATGAATTTGAAGAATAAATTATCAGAATCAATTTAATAGAATCATATTCAACATCATATTTCACATAGTATATACAAAAACCCTTTCCCACAAATCATCACATACCATTGTTTTACAATCACGAGAAAAACAAATCTAGGCATCAGCTTCAACTTTTTCATAAATTTTAATTTCTTCACCTTTTGAAATATCAACAAATGCAATTTTATTATCATTATTTTTAATAACCAATTATTGATCATTTTAAGAAAATTATGCTATTTTAATTGAATTGAAAGATCCTTTAAATGTCCTAAGCAGTTTTTTTCTTTATATATTCCATAATTAATAAATCTATCTATTTTTTTCATTTAATCCTTCAGTCAATAACATATGGCCATTGTAAGAGAATGAAATTGAAATGCTGCTTAAGATATTGGTTTTCCAAAATTGTTTAAGTTTACCATTTTTTGTATAATATATATGAATGATACAAATTGATTTACTAATAGCTCCAAGAAAATATTCCAGATGATGAATTGATAAATGAACAATTTCTTGATAACATGGAATTCTCTACAATAGTTTCCTATTACTTACACACCAAATTCGAATCTGCAAGTCTTTACTAGAACTTACCAGCAAATTTGATTATGTAAATTTTAAACAATTAATGAAATTAGTTTTTTCTTCCAGTCTAAATTATTTTGCATTATGCTTTAAATTTATCACCCAGACTTTAGGATCTTAGACGTAGTTGCTATAATTTTAATTTTCATAAACTGGATCACTATCCTCGCTATATGCAAGCCAATTTACATCCTAAGAAATAGCAATATCATTAATTGATCTGCTTATTATCTTACGACTATAGCAATTTTCTTGTTGATCCCAAATTCTAATCCATCCCATTTCACTACCTATCACAATCCATCTAGAATCAGAAGAAATAGCAATAGTTGAATGATAGAGTAAATTTTCCAATTTGGTTTTTAGAGTGGGTTTTTGTAATGCTAGCATTCAAAGCTAGGTTCTCAAAAATATATATTTATTATTGTAAAAATCACACAAATAATTATCCTCAATATATATCACAAAATTTTATTATTATTTATTTCATAATTTTTTTTGAAAGCATTTTAACAAATAACTTAAATAACAAAGATATTATTGATATTTCAATCTAAAATCATATAAGCTATTGGTAGAAATCAATCTGAAGTTATTTCACGTGTTCAAACACATAGTTGAATCAAATTCTCTTCATATATTGATATGTTAAATCAACTGGTTTTGGCCAAAGAAAAGATCAATTACTTAAATTAAATATAACAGTTTTGTGAACTTCAAAAGTACAAGTTTTATATCATGTTATTTAAATTTACTGAATATAATGCATATGGATAATCCTTGAATTCGAATTATTAATTTAAATCCTTTGTTCAATTCAGCATTTAACTTATAACATATATGGCAGCATTACTTTAATATTTTTTAATAAAATAAATAATAATCTGCATGGGTTGTTCCTAAAGCGTAACAGCAGATGACAACCAAGCTGTGATTCTTATTAAGCCAAAGACTCTTAAATTCAAGCCTCACAATTCCAATACGGAATCTATTTTAAAGAAAAAGTATACTGACGGAAGTGGATAGGCTTTTTACATTATCCCAACTGAAGGAGCTTCTTTCTCAAAAGTTCCAGTCTTAAGAGGGCCCGATTCGAATCAACTTGTATTGAGAAGACGATAATCCAAGTTATCAAGTAGTCCCACAATTACAGAGAAGGTGCAAACTTAGCCAATGTCTTTCTGAGAATAATTGAATAAATGAATATATGTTGTCCATATTTTAATAAAAATCCAAAATAAATTATTTATTATTCATAAAGGAGAATCCCAAGGTCCAAAAGAATTACTTTTGTTTAAAACATTTATGGGGGATTTAAAATTTAACTTAATTTTCTTGGCAGTAGAAATATCAGTTTAAATCTTAGGCATATCTGTGATAAATCTCTTATGAAAGTTGGGTTTACAACTATTATTTGGAAATCTACTTAACAGTTCCTTCTTTTTTGGTTTAATTATTTCATGGACTGATATCAATCTTAAAATAGTTCCCTAGTCATCCGAAGGAGGGTTCCATGGTTTTGGATTTAAAGTGTTTTGCGATTTATAATACAACTTCAACCTTTATGAAAAAGTCAAATGAGGAAATTTTTATTGAGGGGGAGAATAACTCAAAGGTTAACCAACAAAAAGCTTTGGTTCTAATGGAGGAATTGGAGATTATCGTTATCTTACCAATGACTTGCTCATCCTCAATTTGTTTGTATTCATAATTTATAATAAATTAAAATATTTGAGATTTTTTAAGTGTTCAATAAAGAGAATATTTTGAGATCTGCTCCTGTTCACAACAATGAACAAAACCAATTCTAAGTAAAGATTCTAAAATTTCTTGAAAAGACATATTCAAAATTTTGAAGGTTGTTTAATTATTGGAATTTTGAGATTTTTACATCTGGAGAAATATTTTACATATAAACTGAGCGGATAATATAGCATGTTAATTTAAATCTTCCTGAATTATTAAATTTGGATAACTTATATCTAATGTAGTAGCGATTAATGATGTTGAAAATACTATGACCATCTTATATCCGAAATTTATTTGAGTAATGAATCTCGACGCTTGGTGCCCATATTGTTAATGTAAAGAATTTCTTCTACTATAATAGAACTCTTAATTGGAGATTGAGTAGTATTTTCATTAAAGATTATAAATGGAATGCAAATTAAAAATAAATTTTTCTCAAATTTATTAAATAGATTAAGATATGTCATCCCACGAGTTAGGAAATCAGCAAAACATGTGAAATCATAACAATCTATAATTATAACAAGCAATATTATCATCTTTAAATAATAATTAAATTAATTTGATAATTTTAACAATCAATCAAACTTATGAATAAATAAAAATATATCATATTCTTAATTATTTTTGAGGAAAATATAATCTAGATTTCTACTTTTTGATTTAAGAATTAGGTTATAAGTCAGTCAATATAGCATAGGGCAGAATCATATTATTATAAGTAGTAAATTGAAATTAGAAAACTTGAATTAAATTATGATAATATGAAATAAATCGCAAGTTTACTAATATTTTAAGATCGTATACAGTCTTTAATTATTTATCGAAGTTATTTTTGCTGGTTCTTTATCAATTCAGACTAATTTCCTTAGATTTGTATTTTGTTAGAATTTATAAAATTCTGAGATCCTTCATTTTAGATTAGCCAGAAAGAAATCAAATGATTATTCTCTTTAATAATTTGACTGACTTCTATGGCTATTATTATCCCTAGTTGATATCAAAAATTAATTATAATTTAATACTTTAAATTAGGTTTGGATTCTTTTATTCTATGAGTTTTATTTGTGACATTATTAATTAAATTATGTTCGGATATATTTTAGCATGGCTGTGTCAATTAATTGATAAGACTATTACGCTTATACGTAAAAGAATAAGACCGAAAAAGAAGTTTGGACTAGGACGTTATCAGTAAATCCCTAGGTCAAATTCATCATATACTGGGAGATTGAAATTACTGATAGGATTGGAGGGGACTCTTGTTTGTACAAGTCCTACTCCAGTTCAAGGGTGGGATAAAATCAATATCAAGTAAGATGCATGCAATATTTGTTTTCAGATATCACTCAGGACTCACCCAGGAATTTTATGTTAAACATCGCCCATATCTAGACCAATTTTTATTGAGTGTTTCAGAAATTTATGATGTCAGCATTTATACAACCCAAATTTAAGAGTTTGCTGCTCCTATAATAAATCGATTTTGCATTCAATTCAAACTTAATTTTTACAGATAAAAGTAAATTTTATTTTTCACATAGTCATGTGTATAATCTCGCAATAAAATCAGAAAGGAAATCAATATGACAACATCTAATCCTCATAATGTAATATTTGTGGATTATGATGAGGATTAATGCTTAGGTATAAATTTTAGAAATCCATAAAAGCCAACTCTGAAAATGCTTATCAAATATAATAGTATAATGGTCAAGACAATGATACTGAATTGTTGAAATTGAAGGACTTCTTAATTCATGCAGAATCATAGATGAAAGTTCGTAAAGAGCAAGATCCTAGCGTTACAATTTAAGACATATTATTAGAACTAACAGAAGAGGATTGATAATGAACTATAAATATAAATAAAATAATACAAAAGTAATATTGTTAAAAATATAAGATTTTAAAGTATTGGATTTGAATGAAAAATAACTATTACATTAAATCATTGTAATAATATGAATTACATTAATAAATGTAAAAAATCACTAATATTCATTTTTTGGATGATAAAATTGAATCTATGTATAGAATTGATTTTAATATTAAATTTTTTATTAAATATAATACAAATTTGCCGACTCCTCCAACTAAACTCTCTTTAATAGACTAATAATAAAAATTTTATCGCAATCATATGGAAGATCAACAATAATTTTAATGAGAAGTTAAATCATTACATCAGATTTAATTAATAAATAGATAATAATTCAATTGAAATACTCCATGAATTAGCTAATAGTCAACTAATTAGAAGTTCTAAAATAATGGAGACTCTCACAAACAATAAATGAATGTATAAGATTCTTTCATAAAAAAATGAAAATACTGTACAATAGAAGATTAAATAGTTTAAAGAGTTAAGAAAGTTATGAAATTATTAAAGCGAAATAAGATAAAATAAATGGAGAAAAGTAGCATTACAATTTAAAAAAGGATAAAAAGTAATATTTCAGTAAGTTATCATGCTGTTGACTATTTTTATTCCAAAAATATAGCTTTATTTAAATTTAAGACTATCTAAATCACGAGACATAATTTTAAATTTAATTTAATAAGAGAAAATAAAATTTAATTGATTGATTTTTGGTTTATTTACATTTATTGATCATAAGAATAATTCATGTAATGGAATGTTCATACTTTTTTAATATGAGTGATATAATACAAAGGAAATACTTATATCATCTATCGATAACATTAAATAAGAAAGATGAACTTTTTAGATTATGTTTATAAAAAAATATTCGTTCTCTCATTTTGTATTTAACTATTTGTTTGACCTGTCAATTATCCTAATAAATAACTATATTGAGTTTGCTAAGCTGTGGTTTTTAACTAGTACAAGAGATATATTTAAATAATATTGAGTTGATTTAGGAATTTTAGAAAATTAAGTAATCACCTGGAAATATAGAATGGTAATTATCACAAGAACGAAATAAAGACATCAGACCTCCTGTAGTTGTGTTTTATCCTCTCAACTTTGAAGATGAATTTTATATGAGCCATGTTCTGATTATTTCTTCTCAGTTCAAATTAGAAAATAATTAATTTTTGAATTCTATCATTAAGCATTGTAAATTCGTATATTATAATGATTAATCACATAACATGACAGGAATAAATTAATTTCTAAATATTTTGTAATTATACGTCATTCAGTGGTTTATGAGCAGTGTGGACAAAAAGAAATCTAATAAAATATATTATTTATGTAAATATTTGAGACCATTGTCAAGTACTGTGACAAAAAGGATATCAAGTTAATAGAGTCAGGATGGTTGCTATACTGTCACGTATTGGGTGTGATTGGTATAATTTGGAGCTTCTTCTTGGAGTCAGAATTGTTCTACAAATACTACCTTGTAAATAATTCCATTAAATTTAGGCCTTCTTAATCTGGCATTGCCTTACAGGATTAGGAATCACGGGTGGAGCTCACAGATTATGGGCGCATAAATCCTACAAAGCATCATGGCCAATTAGAGTTTTCTTGATGTTTATGAATTCAAATTGTTTCTAAGGAAGTATCTGGCATTGGAGTAGAGATCACAGACTTCACCACAAGTTTAGTGTATGAAACTTAATATCATCATAGGATACACCATTGGATCCACACAATTCTTAATAAGGATTGTTTTTCTCTCATTGTGGATGGTTATTGAAAAACAAGAGCAAGGAGTTAGTTGAAGAAGGAATGAAGCTCGATTTGTCCGATTTGAAGGCCGATTCCGTTGTAATGTTCTAAAAGAGACATTATTATAAAATGGCTTTCCTTTGGGCTTTCATCATCCCTGCTTTGACTGGTTTGATAATAAGCGACAAGTGGTTCTTCAGTCTTTTGTTCTTAGGCTTCGGCAAATACATCTTCACTTTGAATGCCACATGGTATTGCTCAATCATAAAGTTAGGTGTGTTAATTCAATCTGCCACTTTTATGGAAGCAGAAAGTGGAATCCAAGAATCGAACCAAGAGACAACATCTTCGTCTCATTGATTACATTGGGTGAAGGATGGCATAACTGGCATCACGAATATCCAAGAGATTGGAGAGCCTCCAAAAATGAGTGGTGGATGATCAACCCAACATGCTCATTTATTTAGATGTGTGAATATATTGGATTAGTAAATACCAAAAGAGCAAAATTGGAAGAAAAGGTGAAATATGATTATTGATTTATTATTCATTTGAAACACAAATAAAATTCTTAATTTTAATTATATTCATATTCTTAAACTTATATTATTTCTTATTTTGAAGCTTCATTTAATATTCTTAAAAATTAAAATTAGTAAAATCACTTCGAAAAATATTATGCACAATTTCATTATAATACATATTGCATCATAGTGTTTAATGACTATGGCATTCCTTAGGATAAGTAATCAAATACTCACAATTCTATACTATAATGATCAAACTTAAAGTTGTTAGCTATGTCTAAGATACCATATAATTCATCAAAGCGTTGGATTATTGCCAAAATTATCAAATAACACTCTGTTTTCAAGTCTGAAAAAGAATTAAATAAAAAATGTAAGGTCAGATTTGGTTTCATTATGGCTTGAGTTGTAAAATATGTAGTTTGAAGATGAAATTATTTTGGCTACATATTGAAATGAGAAGACATGATATTAGTGATTCAAAAGTATATCACAGATTGAAATCAAAGATCAAATTAATCCTGGATCAGACCAAATTTATAAATATTATAATTATTGATTTCATAATAAATCAAAATACAACGCATCTTTCCCACCAACTTGGATAATTTGTTTTTGATTTTGAGGCTCTTATCTAATTAGATTAATTAAAAGATTTACCATCCATTTTCTTCCTTCAGCCCATATTAACATAATCAATGCAAATGGCAGAGCACATATTCCATAATGAATGAATAATAGATCTCTAGTTCCAAATACGGTATTGAACACTTCAATATAGGAAAGAGCTACGGTCAACATGAATTCCACCCAAAATCCAAAGAACATATAGTAATTGGAGAACCCTATAATGAAATAATAATTGAGTACCTTAAAAGGTTCCTGCGTTTTTCAAAGATCTCAAACCTTAATAATTGCATATTTGCCCAACCACAATGCCATAGAAAAATGAAGTCTAAGCATAATTTGAAGCCTCAGTTGTGAAACAATAAGGTCTTTTAGTGTAGGGAGAGACTAAATTAACGCTACAAGGAGCCCATTAAAACACTTCCTTTAATTCTCCATCTTTGCATTCAATATAAGCCATTCTTAGATCTAATTTAGCATGATTAGCATAAATCCAATCGATTTCCTCAATCTCTTCCTCAGGGAATGGAAAATCACATTTTCCATTTTCATAAATTCTTTTTAAATTCGAATTTCCAAACCAAGGGTCAGTTGGATCATACTAATCCCCTGTTTTCGGCAGAATGGTTTCTCTTACTCCTATAAATAGTAAATCTTATGGATTAAATCCAAAATCATACAAAGTTACAAACCATTAGAAATAACCACAATAGGTTGATAGAACTCCATTCTACACATATGCATAGACCAACAACTTTCCACTCACAAGATGTTCATCTTGAGACCGAGGCCTTCTTGTCATAATATCTATGTCTGCATCTTCAAAAACATATGTAGTGCAAGGGAAAATATCTGTTCCAATATCAATACATAAGATCAACACAGTAGTCAAGGGTAAAGGAATTCTAAAGATAACAAATCCTAAAAATGGAAGTAATTCTGAGATATTGGAAGTCAAACAATATGCAATACTCTTCTTCAAGTTGTCAAAGATCTTTCTTCCTTCTTCAATTCCAACGACAATACTTGAGAAATCGTCATTCAACAGAATCATATCAGCAGCATCTTTTGCAACATCAGAACCAGTAATTCCCATAGCAATTCCAATATCAGCCTTCTTAATTGCTGGACTGTCATTGACTCCATCTCCTGTAACTGCAACTATGTGACCTCTCCTTTAACAACCAGCCACAATAATCAACTTTTATGCTGGACTTGTTCTTGCAAACACTAATTATGGTTTACTTAACCATTCTTATAGTTGTCTTCCTTTATCTTCTTCAGGTAAACCTTCATCATCAATAGCCATTTTGGTTAATTTATCTCCGTGAATTACTAAAGCATTTGATTGATGGAATGCCTCTTCAAAAGAGATACCCTTCTCTTACATCAATTCATCAACAGTTTTTTCAGTAATAATATTACATTACCTTGCAATTGCAGCAGCAGTAACTGGTTAATCTCCAGTAACCATAATAACTTAAATACCAGCTGTCTTACATTTTATAACAGCGTAAGGTACATTATCCTTTGGAGGATCAATTAAGGATATCAAACCAACAAAGACTTATTTGTTAAATGGGAAATTCATCTTATCAAGGTTAAATTAATATCCTATTGGGAATTATTCTTTTGGTAAATGCAATTTAGAGAATCCAAGTACTCTTTCTCCTTATCTTCCAAATTATTCATTTATTTAAACGAATGATTGTTCCCATTTTTCATCTTTTAATTCTACTCTTCCATTGTTATATGCTGAGTCACAAAGTCCCCAAATTCTTTCAGGTGCACCTTTAGTTAAAAGACAATAATGTGAATCTGGAGTTTCATACTCAACTATGATAAATGCATATTTATTGGTTGAATTAAAGGGCATCTTGGCCATCTTATGCTCATTATCCCTTGCAACTTATCTGCTTTGTCTAGTTTAAATGATATCGTTTATTGGTTAAAAGAATTTAATTAAGGCTGTTTCTGAAGCATCACCAATTGTTGGTTTTTCTTAACATGTCATTTTCTGGAAATTCTGATTCCATTTTTCAATTGCCTCTTTCATTTTTTAATCTTTTTGTTATTGATTCAAACCAATGGCATTTTAAATTCTGATTTATTGTTCCTAAGGAAGAGCAGTATCAAAAGTAGCCTCAGAACATAGAATTGCAGTTTCATGCAACGTTTTAAATCCGACTTCATTGAGATCATATTCATAATTAAATTTAGGTCCCATCTTCTCTTTATTCGCTCCCTTGTATTTTTTATTGTTATACCACAAATTTTCAACAGTCATCTTATTTTAAGTCAAAGTACCAGTTTTATCTGAACAAATACATGATCTTTAATATAAAGCATAAATTTTACGTAGATCCCAAAGTTTCAACTCCTTCCAAATTCTTTACCAACACCTTTTTGTATGCTAATTTCTTCGCTGTTAGAGTTAAAGCTACTGTTACTGTTGCTAGAAGTCCTTCTGGAACATTTGCGACAATAATACCAATAGCAAATACAAGATTAGTAATGGCGGCTATAATTATCAATATATTTTACGATATCCAATAATGAAACCCAAAACAAAAAATATGACACCTATGGAAATAGCAATTACTGCTATATATTTAATGAACACATTTAGTTCCCTTCTTAGAGTTGTATCATCTCCTCCAGAACTATCGACCAATCCTGCAATTTATCCAATAACAGTATTATCTCCAGTAAATACAACCATTCCCTTCCCATTACCCTATTTTTCAATATTTCAATTATACTTCTTTACAAAGAGTACCAAAAAATGCCAAATTTTTAGTTTCCAAAGGGTTAGTCTGATTAGTACACTCAGGCGATCTTAATAATAATAATGACTCCCCTGTAAGACTTGAGTTATCCACCTTCATTTCATTGCTCTCCAATATTCTGATGTCGGCTGGAATTCTCTTACCATTTTCAATTACTACGACATCACCAGGCACTAAATTGGAAGCTGGAAATTTTTATTATTATCCATCTCTGATAACTAATGTTTCAGGAGGAATGAAATTTTTGAATGCATCCATGATTGCCTCAGATTTTGCATTTTAAAAAAATGTTATAATTCCAGTTAATGTATTAACAACCATAATTACAATACCTAAATACAGCTAATGATGTAATATAATATAAATACGTTAGAAGGATCTTCTGGTGCCAGGCCATAAGCCAAAAAGCATAATGCAGCTCCAGCCCACAATAGCCAAGCAAACATTGACGTCAATTCATGAATTAGCTTCATATACCAGGGCTCTTTCTCTTTTTAACTCAATTCATTTTTTCCAAACTCCACTAGTTTTTGATCCGCAACTTCCCTCGTTAGGCCTGTCTTTGCATTAGTTTGAAACCTCTATTCAAGTTCCTCTAACGGAATTCTGTGCTCATCCTATTTTGTTAGTTAAAAAAATACCATTGTTTTGAATTTTTCTGCTTTTGACGCATCAACTTTTTCTACCTCCTTTTTTTTGCCCTTTTCTAGTTAGAACAGTAATTTCTTTCTTCTGTCTGCTATCTCCTTGGCCATCTCATCAAATTCCTTCTTGGCTTAGGCAAGTTGCATTTCTTAGCTACATAATTAATTTTAAACTTTACTTCTGCTATGTGAACATTGTTATGATCATAGACGCTGATTTAGAAGCAGATTTCATTTTAAATAATATTAAATACGTAGAAAAGATTTAGAAATGATTATCTAATAAAAAATTAATGAGACTTAATTAACCGTATATAATAAATTATTAGAATATAATAAATTAAAACTAAAAAATGACTCATTTATCATGATGTTGATGACAATATTTTGATTCTAATCTGCGTAGAATACTCAGTACAATCCAATCTCATGATATTTTCATCATTTTTTTGGATGCAAACTGATTTTGAAATTATTTAATAAGTATTTTGACAACATTATTATTACCATCTTGATTTACAAACTTAAGGAATAAATAGTCTTACCTATTGTCCTTACGTTGATTTCTGCTATTCTACATAAAATAAAGGTACACTTTTGTCATTCTTCTATTTTTAGTTATTTTTTATGTAAAATCATCAATTTATATTAAAGTTCAAATTATTGAAGAAAAAAATTAGAGCAGGCCCCTCTGAATAATAAGTTGTAAAATTTTCTCTTTGAGTATTGATTATACATTTTGAATTAATATTAAATTAAATTTGTTTATAAAGAATTAGCTAGACAAAATTGCACGAAATGAAGCAATTTAATTAATTGAAAAACTTTAACTATTATGTTGCGAGTTATCACATTTTGCTTGAAATGAATTTTATTAACTTAAACAAATTATGGTTATATTTGATTCATTTGATCTCAGAATTTTAGATATTTGGAATCATCGTATTAAATTTGAACGAAGAATTACTTTAATTACCCATGATGAATATTGATTATGGACTGAACATTATTTCCATTGTTTCAAGGCCATATAAATTAATTGTTCAAGATAACTTTTTTTTATATTCTTACACTGTTCCACTAGCAGTTCTATCATTATATATAATCCATTAGTTTTTTACTTACTTTTAATTTTCGATCCAATCTTAAAAAAGCCTTATGGAATATGTACTCAAAAGCAATAATATTAAACTCATTTTTCATGGCTTAAATTTAATATTTATAGCATTATTTGACAAACTATTTTGTATTCCCTGTATCCAATTGGCGTGTTATTCGCTCCAAAAAAACATCAATAATGCATCTTTTGGAGCTGTGGAATTTATCAATACGCTGTTTTCAATAATCGCATTAATTCTAGTATTTTGGATTCAACTACTCTACTTGATGTTGGTGAAGGAGGCCATCACATTACAACTGTTCAATTTTAAAGTGCTAATATTTTAGGGTTTGGACTACTTTTACACGTTCTTAATTTACATTTTCGTAATATTGGATTGTTTGAACTTAGACAACAAGCTACGGAATTACTTGATCTTCGTTTTGTTTATAATTTCAACTGTGCTTAAATTAAATTAGTTACTATCAAAGTACCAATATTCCAGTGATATGCAGGATTACTTGATCAATTTGAATGTGGCATTCATCTTGATATCAATAATTTTGATAGGAAATGATTTCATTTCAGATAAATAGAATTTAATCATCATAGTAGTGGTTGTCCCATGTTTAGTGATAGCAATAGTGTAAGAAATGAAAAAGAGGATAGATTTTAATATGCTTGTCATACTTCCTGAAAATTAATCTACAGACACACTCCAATATTTAATTACAGTATTTTCTTAAAAAGATTAATTGAATTGCATTTAATAATTCAGTCTCTCATTGTTTGTGTTTCATCACAGAAACAATTGCCAAGACAAATCCTGTTCATGCAAAAAGAAAAATTTAATGGAAAGTGATATTAAATTAAGGTAACTCTACCTTAAACAACTGATATTGGATTTTGGGAAATCCATAAATAGATTGGCTGATTAGAGTTTGAGAGCATTCTTCTCCTTATTTTACATACAGAGTCTTATTGCCATAAATCAATCAGTGAAGGCTTATCAACAAACCAACATCTTACTACTTAAATAAAATGTTCATTAAGTCAGTGACTAGCAGAATATCTTCAGTGAACAAACCAGTTATTCAGTAACAGTTGAAGAGAACTAGAATGTGTATAAGAAGAAGAGCAACTCAGATATGATCCATAGACTTGAAAAGATCTCCTTGAACTAAATCAGCTATATTAATCTCATCAAACTAAGCATTATTTTGGAGATAGCCAAATAAAATTTAATTTCAAGCTTTAGTTTTGGAAATGTAGTCTAAAAAACTTAATTAAGCTAAAGTGTACAATTGTTTATGAAGGTTGAAGAGCAGCATCAGCAATTAAAACAGAATATTATAAATATAATCAACAGGAAGAAAGATATCTTTATGGTAATGTCATCAACTACAAAATTGAATCCTGAAAGATTCCTGCATTAATGTTTAGATTTGATAAGAAAAATCAACTTTATGGAAAATGAGTTATAGCATTTGTTTTAAGAATTTCCAAGTAAGAAAATGTAATCTATATATTCATTTTATTGCGCAGAAATTCTGAGCAACTTTCTGCAAGCTTATAGGATTATCAATTATAATGCAATTTCTGATAATGCCTTAATTAAAATCTAAAAGAACTATTAAGTGGATTTATTAACCACTCAGTTACACTATATGATCTTAGTAATGGATCATTAAGGAACAGGCTTATAGATAGTTGAAAGATCGCACTAAATGCATAAGTTAGTGGAATATGAGTAGTAGGAGTTTAAAGAAGTAAAATCAATACTTTCCCTATTACCAAGAGGATTCTCAACTATCCATAAACATCTTATTGAAGATTTCTTGATTTCTGGTAGATCAAAATTCTTTAGAGAATAGAATGTGAATTTAATTTTGCAAAGAGACTCATTCTTAAGTCCTGTGGACTTTTTCTTTGATTTTGACCTTACAAAATTATAAGAATTGACTTTTTAAGTGTTTTTCTCAGAAACCAATGGTACTAACTCTTATCTGATTCTGAATAATAAAAATTTAATCTTAGGTGTTACAAGAGAATTATGTAAACAATTAAAATTGTAAGAGTATGAATACGAAAGACTACCAGATTTGTTTTATTTAACTGAGATCCAATAGATAATACCAGAATACTATCAATTAATTGATCAAAGTAAAATTGATAAAACTTAACCTTTTTCCAATGTCTAAATCGTTTTCAATGATAAAACTCCAACAGGCTTAAAGACACTCTAAACTTATGTAGAGCAAATGAAGAGGAACCCTGAATTCACCAGATTCTATTATGCAAATATAGTAGTCACAATTAGATTGACTCATTCAATAATCGAAATCAAAACTGTAGTAGAATCAAAGAAATCGATTTAATAGGAGTCTCTTGATTAGGAGAATTTTGAACAAGAATGTTACGAGTTTATAGAAGAACTGCATATTTAATAGCCTAATTTATTTAATAATGATTTATTCCCTAAATTGAAGAAGGAACCTGAGATTTAAATTGACTGTTACATTTAAGAAGAAATACCTGAACATATCGATCAAATTGATACTAATAGAGTGTTGTCCATATAATAGAGACAACTGCTTTCAGAATCAATTTAGTAATATGATCTAATTAGCCCTGGAAAAAGCAATAGACAATTAATTGATAAAACAACGAGTTTTGCAACTCATTAAATAAATTTCAGTTAACAACAAAGATTCTTTTAAAATCAAATCGAAGAAAAAGAAAAGGAGCAATCTCAATCGAATCAATCAGGAGCTGAAAAGGGATTTGCAAAACTAAATTATGAATAAAACCAATAAAATGCTGAAATCAGAGAAAATTTGAGGTAGCAATTAAATGAAGAAAATTAAACTTCAATTCACGCCCGAAAACTTAATTTAGATAATGCAGCCTCTAGTACTTTGGGCACCTTTTCCTAAAATTTTTAACTCTTTAAAAAGTACGAATTGCTCCAACAAATTGTTTCATCAGTCAAATTTTCAATTATTTTTGACTTAATGATATTCTCTCTTTTAGTTATTTCCTTGATTTCAATTATCTTTGCTATCGTTCTTATCAATAATTCAAGTACTGATATTTATAGTGCCTTAAGTTAGTTGCAAATGTTAGAATTCTACACTTCATTCATGAACCCTTGTTATTTATTTTTATCATCATTTGCTTCAACTTACAATTATAAAAATGGAACCTTTGATCACAATCAAGCATAAAACCTATAATCGTTAATACAATACAATCAATACATCATTAACCAATCCTTTGTGAATATCAAACAGAGTTATGGCAACCAATCCAAGGGTAATTTACTGTAATAAGACCTATCTACTACTCTTTTGGATTTTCAACACCTAAAAGAGAGCTAATTTACATCTGAACAAATTTCATTGCGTGAAGCAATCTTTCAAATCATCCAATATCAATATAATTTTTAGACCATATTTATTTAAGAGAATGGACTAGAGGAAATGATCTAGTAATTAATATCCTATATTGTTAATTTGAATGATATCAATGATTAAATTCTGAACTTAAATACAGAAATCATCACTTATATTAGTGATAGTAATCTATTATTATAACACAAGTGGATTGTTCTATGTATTAGATGTACTTATTTAATTCTTTTATTTCAATTATCTGCTTGGCTATTATACATGAAACATACACGTAAGTACTCCAAATTGCTAAAATTGTTCTAGAAGGTAGATGTTGTTTGGGTGTTGAGAGATTTGGAAAGATGCAAGGAATTACTTAGTTTACTCAATAAGGATTCTAATTTAATGTTTAGATATAAATTTAATATATTTTTGAAGGAAAGATTCTTTAAAAGTGAACTATCTAAAAAACACATTATACAAGACAAGATCAAGAGAACAGGATTCATAAAATTGGATACCAAATAAAAACTTTTATTGAGTAGGTTAGGTAGTTTCCTATTTTTCTCATCACTTTTCGGTGTGTTTTTCATTTTTTCATTTACAATGAATATGCAAGGGATCAATTTTATGGACTACTATCAAATGAAGAGTTAACAATACAACTCAATTGGTGAGCTTGGCTTATCTCTACCTAAAGCATACAGCTTAAGAGAAGTGTTATATTTTAAAAGTAATAACTTTGATGGATATGAATATATGTCATAAAATCTAACTGATCATTATTTACAAATCATACAGAGTAGTTTGGATATAATGAGTAATTACTTATAAACTTACACCTCTCTCGAGAGTAATTATAATGATGAAACTTTATTGTAATTGAATAATGAAACTTTATGTGAAGATGACAGCATTGCGAAAACCTTTGATTTGCAGCAACAATATTTGTGCAAACAAATCTACGACAATGTCATGGATAGAGGTCTATCCATTACAATTACTAAAATCAGAGACATCCTTCTAACCGAAATGAACAATTCCCAATCATTCACTTATAGAATCAATCCCCCTTTTAATGAAATAGAAATTGGGATCTATTTGAGTGTGATTATTATGAATGTCTTGCAAACTATAAAATCAGGACTCTCAGAATAAGCTGATCAATTAAATATGACCATTTAGGTAACTCTAGAATCTTATTTAGATTGTTTCTATTATATATTTGGTGTTCACTTTTCTAAAAATAGGGCTAATTCTACTATTTGTTAGAGGCCATTACTTGAACGAATTTCAAAATGTTAAGAAATTAACCATCTTATTACCATAGGCTGCATTATTCATCGATGACTTATTTGAAAGGCAATTAAGATAGCTGATTGCTAAGGAAAATCTCGTCTGAACAAATAATAATTCGAATATTTAACGAATATTATATTATCTTATTATTAACGTTGGATATTGTCTCGTGACGGAATCAAAGAACTAAAACATTTTAAATAAGCTTCTAATATTAAATTGTTTAAATAAAAGTAGATAAAAATGTCATTGTTAATGCATAGTCGAATCGTATGACATGTCACAATTTGCTATGTTCTAGAGTTTATCTAATTTAATTGGTTCGACATCAACGATCATAGTCGGATGCAATTGATGGACAATTTGATATCTATACATCAATAATATCAAAATCATCAAAACTATTATAGCTCCAGATTATATTATGATAATAGCAAAACACTCCGTCGGTATTTAAGAGCACAAGTCCACTCCCATTCAAAGTTTCTCAAATTAAAAAAATAATATTATTTTATATAAGCAGCACAATCATTATTTATTAAAACAAACTCTAATAATTGTTGTTTTTTCGATTATTTTGATGACTTTATGAAATATATACTTTTTATTATTGTAGCCAAACAATTATTAAAACGAATGTGATGTCAATTATTAATTGAAAAAAAAAGAACGATTAATATAGATATCCCAATCTCACATTCTATGAATTGAATAATAATTTTCATATTATTATTAAAATAAAAAAAAATAGAATGTTATAAAAATAATTTATGATGCTAATTAAAACATGGACTAACTTGTTTAAACAATGATATACTGCTTTTCTTTGCCATAAAAACTACATTTGAAGATCTTTCCCTTATCAATTAGAACAAAAGACAATAAGAAGAGTTCATTTTTTCTGTAAACCTATCTTATATTTAAATGTAAAACAAATTTATTATTCAACCTTTTTCAATATAAACATCATATTTGATGATAAAGTCTTCGTGTTTGTTGAGTTTATTGGATTTTGACAATTAGTTCTTTTTGTGCAAACTTTATAATATAACATATATTCAAAATGGATCACCTGCAAATGATAAAAGAAATTTGAAAAGTATTTGAGATAGCATAACTAATCTTTTTTGCCCTAAATTGGCATTTTAGTTTCATTTTGATAATTTAGAATATAAGACTTGAAGAATACAATTTTTTTACATGCTTGAATTAGACTGTCTTATTGACAGATAACCAACTATCTGTATTTAAAATATTTAGAAATTATATTTTTTCCAAGACTACTTGGTTATTGAATGTGCATAGAACATAACTTAATTTATTAATTTAAATTTAATCTAATGGTTAAGAATAAGTATATATAATTGATTTAATGTAATATAGATGATGTTTTGTTAGAGAATTGTTACTTTAAATATTAATTCATGGTGATTAATTAACATAATTTTCAATTTGTAAGTTGAGATCAAAAATGCCATATTTTAAATTTTTCTTGAAAAATGACTTGAATTATATAAATTAAGTTGTTGATCTAATTGAAGAGAAATGGCATAAAAATATTGTTTATTATAATTGTAATTCTAAAAATATATTTATAATATTAAATTATGTATTTAGAAGGTGGTTTTAATCAACCATTCTACCCCTTACAATTGGCGAATCTCAATAATTTAAGAAAATAAGATTTAGTTTATGTTTAAATTGAAACGAAAAGAGGATTATTTACTATAAAAATATGTTAGCGTTGACCAATTTTCGCTGGAAAGTGTTATTTTGTACTATACTAATAGCAAATAATACTACGAATACTGGATTGGTGAAAGGAATAGAAAGAATTGTCAAAATAATATAAACTGTTAAGCATAAATAGATAAAATATATAATTTAAAATATACTAGTAAATTTTGCATTCTCAGTCTAAATTCTAACAATATAAAAATTTAATTTAGAAAGTATTTTGAGGGTAAGGCGAGAATAACGCATATAATTATGCATCAGGAGTATAGGAGATTAAGATTATCAAATTATCGGAGAGCTTTGGTTGGCAGTTTTTTTTTTGAAAATCAATAATGTTGTTATTTTGTGATGTGTTATGTTCTTTTGAAAATGCGATATAATGGGTGGAGGTGGACAAAAGAAGTAAAATTGGAATAAAAGTACGTTAATGGATTTAGGAATTAACAGATAGTGGTAAGGCTTATTAGCGAGTAAGTAAATAGTTTTGGAAGACAAAGAAATTTGCATTATTTTATTTAGAATAACCTATTAACTTCATACTTTAGGTAGAGTGACATATACATTACCGTTTTATTCTGTTTTATACTAATACTTCCTTTGCGATTTAAATATAACTTAACAACCCAAATAAATAATTAATTATTTTTTTACATGATCAAGAAGAGGATTAGTAAAGATTAAAAAAATTGTTAAAAATACAATAATTCTAATAAACCTAGGAAATATTGGACTGAAGAGGAGGATAATATTTTAAAATCAACAGTTTAGTTGCATGGTTCAGACTGGAAGCTCATTGCTGAGTATTTGGATGGGCGAAATGCCAGTTAATGTGCTTAGAGATGGAAAAGAGTCAAGCCTGATGATGTAAATTTGAATTTCTATGATCTTTAGGGAGAAAAAAATTAAAAATGGACACCTGAAGAAGACGAAGAAGTTAAGAGGTTAACAAAAGAGTATAGGTTTGATTGGAAGGTGATTGCTCGTTTTCTCTCAAATAGAACTGGAAGGCAAATCAGAGAACGATACATAAATCATCTAGACCCAAATATAAACAACAAGGCATGGAGTTAATAAGAAGATTTAAAAATATGGACCTTATTTAAAATGATTGGATCCAGATGGTCTGAGATGGCAAAGAAACTAAAAGGAAGACCAGTAAAATTTCGTTTATTATCTTTTTAGGAGAACATGATAAAGAATAGATTTTATGGATATATCAGAAAGAATTATGCCAAGCAAGAAAATCCTTATTATATAGTACCAAATCAAAGGAGACAACTGACTAAAGAGGATGATCAAGTTGAAATTTTACATAATCAAAATACTCTTGAAACAGGATTTGAAGATATTGAACCACAAATCATCCAACAAATTTAATAAAATAAATCAATATAATAATAAGAGGAACTATCTTAATCAGGCGTACATTCCGTCTTGCAATCACTGTAATCTGATAAGCACAACTTCAGTGCTATTAGCAATCATCACGATGCCCATTAGTTAGAACACTTTCATAAAATGTTTATAGAATCATCAGAAAATGAGTTTGCAAAAGGTGATCATCATCCAGTTCATTTTTTATCAAATGAAAGCAATAATCACAGTTATACTAATAGCCATAACCAATTTACTTTCACACCTCGAAGAGATGACGAGAATGATAATTTTCTAAATCAATTTTTTTAAGTTGAAGGTTCCTCTGTGCCTGTTGCAATGAGAGCCGACATATTTGAAGAGTTTTCAAAATTCTCCTAATTGGAGTATTGAATTCCCCAAACAAAGACCATGATTACAAATCGAGTCATTTAAATTATATTTATATTTTTATAGTTAATTCAATTAGTATGAATATTACAAAAGTTTTCATAATAAATTTATTTTCGATTCAAATACAATATTGTTTTTCCTGCTGGAATTTAAAATTTCATTTTTGAAATCGCTCTTTACGATGGTATTACAAATACTGAAATAATATATTTTAAACTTATTTAAAATGAATTAATCGTAAACATGCTATGATTCAGATTTATTTGTAAATGAATAATTGACAGGCTTAACCTGTCCAATAGGTTTGGGAGTTCTTAGGAATCCAGTATTTGATTAGTGTGGTCACGTATTCTGTCATGGATGCATCACGGATTGGCTCAAAAAATAAAAGCTATGTCCCATCAACAAGCAGCCATTAAATGAAAACTAATTAATTAAAGCAATACCCATTAAAAACATGATTGATGAACTCGAATTGAAATAATGTTTGTTGAAGTGTGGTTGGAAGGGAACCTTAGACAAGTATTATACGCACGATGAAAAGGAATGTCCTGAAACATAGTTGCATTGCTCTAACAAAGATTGTAATACGGTGATGAAAAGGGCATCTCTTAAACACCATATAGAGTTTGAATGTGAACATTAATAAATTGTGTGCGAAAAGTGTTAATAAAATCTAATTCGATCTAATTAGAATCAACATTTAGAGGTTTGTGAAGGCAGAAATATTCAATGTAACGATTGCTAACAGGATATGGTATTTTCGGATTACAATAATCATATGACGATATGTCCTTAAAAGTATTAATTCTATATATTTTAGAAAAATTTAATGTCCGATTGAAGGGTGCAATGAGATAATCAAAGAAGTCAACCTAGAATAACATGTATCTAATTTTAAGCACATCCTAATACTTTGTTAATAAATTAAACAATTAAAGGATGAGTTGGCTTTGACCAATAAAAGGTTGGATAGCCAACAAATCCCATATTTGGATGGGTGGAGGACATCTTTGTCTAAGACTGTTGAAAGTAGAGAGTGGCTATCAGTGAATTCCATGCACAAAATAAAAGCCCCATTTAGTTTGCGATTTGAGGCTTTGAATATTAATAAACGACCGAATCAATGGAGAGCAGTGATCGGGGTATCTCAGGATAAGCTAAAGAATAATCATTTATGGTATAGACAACAAAATGTAATCGAATTTATAATAATATTCAGTCTTTCGTGTGGATATTTGGAGGTTTTAAATGCAGTAGTCAAGCAGAAAAGTATGGTAGTGAAGTGCAAGATGAGAATTTTCAGGCGAAGATGATATTGAATCAAAAAGGGGAACTCTCTTTTGAGCACTCTGGAAGTGACATGGGTGTTGCATTTGTATTGCCAAAAGAAGTCTTCGCGGAGGGCATATATTTGATCGTTTCTATAATTAATCAAGGGGAAATAAGATTGCTGTCATTGGATAGTTTAGTTTGATATTTTCATTCATTATTAAATATGGCAATAATCATATAGCTCTTTGTTATTGGTAATAAGAGTGGCATTCTGTGACTGTCCTTTGAATAATAAAATAAAAATAATTATTGATGAAATCGATTACCAATTTATTATCTTCCTTGGTTTCGAAGTAACATACACCATTTGTGCAAAAATTGAATAATTGTTCCATTATGTAGAATAACCCGATAATTTTGATGACAGATATATTGTATTTGATCGAATGCTTTGAAGGGTTTGGTCCAGAATGCAATGGAATTTATCTGACAGGGTAAGAATACTTGCAATAGTTTTTCAAAGCGATCACAAATAAACCATTGAATGGCTTCATTGCTATTAAAATTACCTTAACTATCCATTTAATTCTCTACGAATTCTAAATCGGAGATTCTATTGCAGATGAAATGGTAAAAGAAGGGTCATCACTTCGCATTCAAGAAAATCAACAATTCAGTAACTTTGTTTAAAACTATCTCATGTATTTGTTGAAACTAGCATAAAATTTAAAATTGTTTTACGCCTGTAAAATAGGGTAATATCCAATCTTTGATTAAGATCAAACCTACACACAATGTTCAGAGAACACAAGAGATCAATAGTTTCAATAGTTTCAAATTTTGAAAAAGAACAACAATTTCAGAGATACCAATTTGCAATACAGAAATTATCAACAAAAGAAGCTGGAATTGCATATGCAATAACAAACAGGATGCATAACAATAGAATAGAAGATACTCTACCTATTTAAATTGCACAATTTATTGAATCAATGCATTCAGATTTTGAACATATGCATAAACACACTAAAACAATTGGAAAACCAAGATTCCAAAAACATATTCATTGAGATCAGCTGCGTTCTTTGGAATGATTGCATGGTAATGTACAAATTTGCTACATAAGAAGTACTATCATCATCTGATTATTTTAGTTATGCAAACTACTTGATTCTTTTAGATTCATGCCCCTCCAACAATTGCTGTCCATCCAACAAATATATTGGGTTACCATCAACTCATCCACTCAAATTAAATATTTATATAACAATAGAAAGTATTTTGACTAGTAAAACATTGTTAAATAACCTTTTTGGTTCGAAGAAAATAAAAAACTTTCTCAAGAAATTCAAAACAGCATCATTGATAACAAAATGCTACAAATACCAGATTCAACTAGGAATGTAAATAAAATATCCACCCCTCAAGCATGTTAGAACTAAAAGTCACCGACCAACATTGCTTAACCATTCACTTCAAGAATCGGAAACTCTTAAAACTCCACCAAAACTACGATCCCTCTCCAGCCCTATTTCATAGCCAATAAAAAGTTATCGCAACAATCCTAACAGTTTGAAACCTAACAACCTGTGAGCACGAGGGCAAAAAACTTTGTTGGAAGTATATTTTCCGATGAATAATTAACTCTTTCTCCAAGAGAATCTACAAGGTAATAATAACAATGATAATTATTTAAATGATACTTTATTTATAGTAACATAGTATTTAATAATATAATTTAACTTAGTTTAAAGTCATAAAAATTTGTCAATATGATGAACTTCTTAACTTCTATCAGATGATTTGGATGACTAAGAACTAGAATCCTCTTAGTCATCGAATTTATCCGATTAAAATCGTAAGAGTCTCCTCTTTTATACTCTTTTCTGCATTTTCTTTAGATCATTCTAATAATCCTTATCCAAGTTTTTGTGGCACTTCTTCTTCCATTTTACCAAATCCTCAAGTTCTTGATCTAGCAATTTCTATTGTTCTGCCTATTAATTGTTATTATACAAATATTACAGCTGGATTCGATATTTTCATTCCCTTGGGCAACAACTACTTTCTTTCCTCCTTCCATTACTCTAGTTCATCATTTATTAACTGCTATTTTCGTTCCTTTTCATATCTCTACTTACGTCTATACTTGCTAATCGAAGCTGAAGACTTAGTTTTAATAATATTAGGAGGAGAACTCTAAAGAATACTGTTTAGTCTATTATCTATATCAGCAATCTTTTATTTCCCCTTTATATTTGACTGATTTCCTAAATCTAACATTGTGCAATCAACTGTTCTATGAGTTATCGATAGATTAGTCTAACATGGAATAGTCGGGACAAAGGATTTCTTTCTTGAAGCTATGATGTTTTCAAATACTGTGTGAAGTCTTTCAAAATTAGGTAAACTCTTTGCTCTGAATTTTTCAAAACTCTCTGGCTTATACTTTTTCTTATTCTGAACTCTTTTAAGCGACTTTCTAATCTCTTCCCTCTCTAAAGATTTCTATAATTAGATTGAATTTGCAAAATAATCAGCCCATTATGCTTTTTTCTTTTCCACATTGCTCTTCGATCTGGATCTCTGCTCTTCCATTATCATTTTGAATCTTGGATCCCTTGTGCTATCTGGCACAGGTCGAGACATGAATTTGAATTCAATATCATCTTCTGGTGACAATATTTGTTTCTTCTGTTTTTCAAAGCTTTTAGGTTCCATCATACTTTGCATTAATCGAGCCTTACTCTCCTCTTTTATTCTTTCTCTTCTCTCCTCTCTCTCCCTATTTAATTGATCATACAGAGGCTCCTTAACATACCATGGCACTGGATTCGCCTAAAACCTCGTGTTAAGCTCTTTTAATAAATCTTTCTCCTTGTCAATTAACATCTTTTCAACTTCCTTCTACCTTATGGATTTCGCTTAATTTTCATTTTCCTTCCTGCCATCAGGTACTGTAATTAAAAAAAATCCATTATCAATTTTGTTTATCGCTCCAAATTTTGTGTTTTCAACAGGGTTCTCCTTCTACTTCTTATTTAGAGTGTATTATTGCTTTAATTTCTAACTCAATACCAAAGGGCGGCCTCGTATAGTGAAGAAATCTATAAGTTCATCTAAATCTATATATTCATCTGCCTCCTGCAATATTCGATTTAGAGTGTCCTCTACAGTTTCTATAGGTAATTGATTAGTTTTCTCTCTTCTGACTTTCAATTTGAAGAATTTCTTTGAAAAGTCTTCATGGGCAATCAAATTATCGACAACCAATTTCTTTTATGAAAATCTTTCGTTGCTCTTCCTTATTTGATTGAAAATCTTCTCCAATTCACTAAAGAAATTGGATTGAAGCTATATTTCCTCATTCTCAAACAATTTATCATACTTCCTCTTTTTTGATATCTAAGATGATTTCAAGATAATAAATTTGTTTGGTATCTCAAATAATTAATTTTGCCATTCCCTAAAATATGATTTGGATATGGATTCCAAATCTACTCTTTAACAATAAACTTCAAACTCATATAACCACTTTTCAAATGGTATATTTTTATTAATTTCTTTAAAAGAAATAAAAGTATCAAACAATTTTATTCTTGTTTCATATCTCGTTCTAATTGAAGCGATTAATTTGAGAGGATTCACCTTTTCTTCACAATCTAAATTGAATTCATCATAAATTCTTAGTAATATTGATTTCTATGATTCCTCAAATTCCTAAATTCCTTTAACAGGCTTCAACAAATTCAAGTCGTAATTATCCTTTATAATTAGGATCTTGGGATATAATATGAAATTAATAAACTCCTCCAATGTTATTTCCTCCTCAAATTAAGTGGGAAATTCATTCAATTAATCTTCCAACAGATTCTTGTTAATGTTATAAGCATCACAAAACTTTCTATTCTCCAACATGTATGAGCATAATACTGATTTTTAAATGGACTTATTTGGTTATTCCAGAAATTAATTATAAAAATGTGTGACAATCACAAAGTCATCGGGCGAAGGAGTGGGGATTTCAAAATTGGGATTGAATGATGCAGGTAACAAAATGTCCTTTGGTCTTGCTTAAGGATATGGGTGCTTTTTTTTTAATCTCTCTTGAGCATTTAAATCTCGTCGTTATTTTGCAGTAAAGGCAATTTGTAAATTTACATCGTGGTCAAGCAATTCATCATCACTTTTTTGTTCTTTGTCTTTGAGATATTTAAAAAATTTAATGAAATCTGGTTTCCTCATCTTTTTTTCAATTTCTTCCAATTCAATTGTCTCTCTCTTTTAGATTAGATAATGATTGAACTAAGTAAGATAATTGTGTCGTTTTCCTATTTCGCAGTCCCAAATATTCAAGAAATCAAATAATTCTCTTGTTTTCAATTTTTTAGGAGGCTGAGGCTATTCTTTTTTTGGTTTTGGTTTCTAGTAAATTTAAAAGTTTCTATAATTCTTTTCTTTCTTTATTGTCTTTTCGGTGTCCTCAAAATAATTTGGATTTCTCTAAATAATAATTGAAGGGTGATATACTTCTGCATGGGGAATTAACATATTCGTTATAAAATTGATTTTGATTATTTATATTAATATTTAAATTAGGTATATTATAATATTTGTTGGTCATCCCATTTCAATCACTCTTACACCTAAAAATATAATAATAGAAAATGGTTGACAAATTTTTAATAATTTTGTATATGAATCATTTATTCCCAGCTTGTCTTTTTACAGAGCGCAGCTCATCTTATAGCTATTGAATTTAATTATCTTTTTCCAATTATATTTAATCATGTTCCTTTACCAACGCTTATTATTATTATTTTTATTTTTTATTTTCAGTCTTTAACTTCTCCATCTCTTGAGCATCTTCTGCAACCTAATCCACTAATTCTTAGGCTTTAATAGCTTATTATTGCATATATTATTAAACTTACGAAATATATAATTGATATTATTGATTTTATTAACAGACTTCGTTTAATTAATTTGATAATTGTTATATCTAAGCCTAATAGGTATAAGCATCTTATTAAGCTTATTATGAATATTATGATAAAGCTTCTTAATATTTTTTCTCTTATTCTAATTTTTCATCCTAAATGCTTTTTATTTTTTAATTCAGATTGTCATTATCCTTTTTTAAATGAGTTAATTAGTTAATTATTTCCTGAATCTATTTTTCTAATTTTAGTTTATCATTGTAAGCCTATTATTATGTTTATTGTAATTAATTTTCCAAACTCTGTATATACTATTACATTTGTTGGGATTGACTTTCTTTCTCATTTTAAAAATTCATATTATTCTAATATTACGATTAAATTTATTAAAATTATTATTTCTTCTCTTCCTCTAATATTTAATTCTATTAATTTAAACTTTGTATCTCATCAATTGCCTAATTTCTTTAACATTTCAATTTTTCAACCTCCTATTGGAGAAATTGAAGTTACTTAAATAGGGAGTTTGAATCAAAAACCCTAAATAATGTTTTATTTTAATAATGATGAGCTAAAATGGTTTAGCTATAAACTTAATCATTATCATCCACAATAATTAAATGGTCAAAAGGAATATTAATTTCCTGTTCTGCAACTTGTCTCTTAAAGTCCATCATATTTTATTAGCAAGTGATTTTAACTACCTGACCTTTTGTTGTTTGTACATTGAATGTCCACGTATTCATTATGATTTGCGAATGATATTAAGAAAATAAAAATATTTATAATTCAATAACTTTGTAGAAGAAATTAAATATGTCATTTATTTAAGCAGGAGGCCTAATAAACAGGTTGAGAACATGGAAACTTAATATAATATAAATAATTATTATTTTTCTATTTAACTTCTCTTGCAAATCATCAAATTAATTTTTTGATTGATTCGGAATCCTTGTATGTAATAAAAATAGTAGTAATCATTATATTTAATGAAATTCAATGATAGGAGAAAGATAATTTAAATAGTCAACCCTAAAGTTAGGAATCTCTTGAAAATTAAACAAAATAACAATATTCTTTTAGCCCAATAGCACCTTTGACATTTTCAGGAGACCAATAAAATAATTATGTTATCTAATTTGGGAAAACACACTATCCAATTATTTGATCTACAGTTTATAAGATGATCATCATGTGTAAAATGTGTAATAGAATATTGATTAAATTTGAGAATAAGAATATTTAAATAATGATAATGATTTTTAGATTCATATACAATCTATATTTTCGCAAATATTATACATCTTGAAGCATTGATTCAAAATTGTCCTAATTTCTTTAACCTTAATATTGTCTTCAGGATCTAAATCGAAAGTTCTATGACATATATTATATCTATTTACTTTAATTTAGAATTGCCTTATTCAATAGAAGATGAACTCACTTGAATAATGGGACCTACAATACACTTTTAATATAAAGTACCTCCGCCGTAAATTGAAACTAGCACTGTCCACAATTACTGACTTATGAGACTGTAATCCTTCTCGACCTATTTGTCTTGGAGCAGTTGATGATTGCTATCCAGAAGTGGCAAATTATTGATTTCCCCAGGAGGAGGATTGCCAAATATGAAGTTCTTTTGCAATTGAGATTTTGAATTGTAGAGGTACCTTTACCACATTATTATCCAATCTAGATTGATGATGAATTATCTATCTGATTGGCAATTTTCATATTTTTAGATCAAGCCTCTCTCCAATTTCCTTCTCTTACTCATGTTCTGCGCTTGTTCAATACAAATGGTGCAAGTTTAGATGGTCTTTTAAATTAAAGGGCCACCGCCATATTTTTCAACTAAGAATTAGCATATGGCAGTTGGCAATTAGACAGATTAGAGTTATAACTAGAAGTAAGAAGAGGAATTGTTATTTTGCTACAAATTAATACTTTGATCACAGACAAAACTTGTGTTCATTTGTTCTTGTGAACTTACGTTTTCATAGGATTGTCTAAAGTCCCAATAGTCAGGTTTCAATTAGTTGTGAAAGCACAACAAATGCGATGTGATGATCATTTGAGGGTTGCTTAGAGTCAAAAATTGTTCAAACCAGAAATTGGGCAAAAAGCTTAGTTCATCGTCCTTTAATACTATTTCTCCAGTTTAAATGAGTTCATACTGAGTTAGGACATTGTGAATAGTTTTGTAATTAGTGGGCGAATCTACTTTTTGATAAAATAGCATAAGAGCTTCACTCTCCTTTACGTATTTGAGAGTGACTGGGTTAATTTGATCGTCTCTGATTGAAATGAAGGTGTTGTTAGGTTGTCTGACTATGGATTCGAAATGATCGCCCCCAACATTGCTATAATGAACGATTAATCCAAAGAGTTAATAATTCAAATCTCCTTGCATCTTCAATAGGATAGTATTAATACATTAAGTAAGTTGGAGAAGTTGGTTTGTTCCACTGGAAAAGACACATAAGTTTGATCTTTTTAATGTTTATTTTTGAATCTTTATATGTGGATAGCAAGGATATTAGAAAATTTGCTAAATTTATATGTTCTTCTACCATTTCGCGATCCACATAGACACAGAAAATTCATTTCTTAAATGGGCTCATAAAATAAATCTAAACAATTTTGTAATGTAACGGCATCTTGTCTATCTTTAGTTAATTTATTGAAGAATTTAGAGATTACATTCTATTCGTGAATTTGGGGTATCTCAAGTGAGATGGCAGAGTAGTTTTCATTCACTAGAGTAAGTCGATTGCAATTGAGACATTGCAGCGTTGATTGCAGTTCTCCTGAGAAGACATTCTAGATGAATGAATAATCTCGAAATTTGGATGCTTAACTTCTATCCCCCTATTGAATTAATACAATTACAATAATAGCCAATCATGTGGGATAGCTTCCTGATTCAAAAATGGGATAATGTTTTTCCAATAGGAGATGCTGTTGGTAAATCGAAATTCTTCGTGCAAAAAATTGATCAAATATTTAAATGCCTCCTGATGTACTATTAGTTGTGGATACTTACGTAAGCATCTTTTTGCCCATAACCCAACAATTTGCTCTCTGATTAGGCTATGCTTTTGATGAGTTCTGTGGGATTGAGCAATTTCACTGATTTTGATTTGAGAGCGTCACTTATACAACAGATGTTTCTGAGTATTATTTTCTTAATAGATTTCACATTGAAGTCACCTTTCTCCATTTCGGCATGCACTTTGGAGAGAATTTATTAAATAGTAGGAAAATTGAGTAAAATTTATAGAATACTATTCATGAAGCTAAAATTAGCAATGTTTAAGATGCCGACATTGGGAGAATTAAATCGCTATATACTTAACTCCTGCTTTTAAAAGTATCTTAGATATTCAATCCTAATTCTTTATGGATTAATCCACTAACTAAAAACATCTTCATTTCCTGTTAATCCATATTGTTCGAAGTCCAAGATCTCTAATTTACAAATTATACACGTCATTTAAGTGGAAAGCAAATTTATGAAGATGCAATGATCACTTTTCTCTAGGTTTAAATTATGAGTCATTTATACATTGGTTATGATGATGGAGACACTGCTTTTCCAGGTCGCAAATGACTGCTTAGCATCTTAAACAGATATTCCCTACGTCAATTTTGTATTAGCATTATTCACATTTTAAATTGTTTTTTTAGTAAAGCACCTGAATAATCCATGATAAACTACTTATAACTTTTGTATTTCTTAAAAGAATTTAGGCAAGGATCTCTAAAGCAGCACCTTGTGATAATGAGTACAAATATTTTTCTCTTTGATTGATGACATCAATATTGCTTGATTTAAATTAATATTTCAATAGCAAAAATATATATATATATAATAATTAATCTTTCAAATCGGTTCAAATACTTATCCATATTCATTCACCATACTAATGTAGATGTCCTTCTTAATCGTATCCTTCCTATTCTTCAATCCCTTCTTGGCAGTCATCTTCAATATCTTCTATTCGATTATTCCAACCTCAGAAATACAATACAAATTGACTAGTAAAGATATCAAGTCATCTAAGAAAATGTACCCTTGTTGATTCGAATCTTAGAGCAAGTACGCAATCTCAAGTTTATCATGCTTCCTGCAGTTTGTTTAACCCAGCAAAGTGAGAAGAGTGTTCTTCAAATTGACAATCTAATCCACGATGACATTGTCCGAACTCTTAACATATTCTTCCCTCACTGGATTTTCATTCATAGAATTGAATAGCAATTTAGATTGGTGATCTTTAATATTTTTTGTTATTTTTACTGTCTAAAATGTCCAGATAATGAATGAAATCCTCATAAGTGCATGACTCCATGATGTCCAGCTTATTAATTTTCTCAAAGACATCCAAAATATAGGCTTGATCGATCTTCTTCTCTCTTACGAATCTCATCGCATTGTTTTTCCTCTACAACATTATCTCCCTTTGACTCAACGAAGACTTCTATTTCGTCTATTGAGTTATTTGACCCTCCTCAGATCGGATTACCTTGAGATTCTACCCTATCACTTGTCTCTGTTTCTTCTGAGATGCTATGTTGTTGATTGACTAGAACATAAGTTTGGACTGTTCATCTTAACCAAATCTTGGACTGGTCAATTCATTCTTCCTTATTTGTTCAACCATGTCAGATGTGATCTTCCCTTTTCTGGCTACCTCTTACACCTCCTTCTCCATCATAGTCTAATTGATTTAAGTGCGCTTCTCAACTAATTCCTTTGTTGGTGGATGAGCCTATCCTAAAGTTGGCAATGACCAACCACCAGCTAGATTTTTAAAATCTTCAAATTTTACTTCTCCACTTCCATCCTTGTCACACATTCTTATCATTTCTTCTATCTCCTCAGATGTTGCCTTCTCACCTATGAAATCCAAGAAGAATGATAAGTCTTCAGAAGTTATCCCTCCGTCCTTATTCATGTCCAAGAAATTGAATGCCTCCTTAATTTCATCCTCTGTGAACATCCCTCTTACGTAATCGTATTGTTAATTTGATTCCTCAATCATATATTTCGTATAGCCTGGTGTGATTTTTGATTGATCACTGGGTCCCGTCTTCATCTTTTGCGATTATTGATCATCTTGATATCTAAATTAGGAACTCATAGGGATTGATTGATAACTGCTCGCATTCACCATAACCTTGGGTATTTGATTGATTTGAGGAGCTTGCAATTGCTTCAAATCCACTGAGTTTTATGGACTCCCACCCCCAGCATCATTGAAATCGTTAGACACATACGAACTCTTTAGTTTCTATTCGGTATCATTCGATTCCTATCTTTGAAAAATGTCTGGCTCTTCATTTTGTTATATAATCATATTAATTATATTAATAAGCACATCAAGTTTCAATTTTCAATTGTATAGCTTATTTTGAAATTCTCTGCCTGGGAAACTTAGGAATTAACTTGGGAAAGGTGCCTTGACTCTGAAATGACCTAGGCAGTTTACTCAAAGTATTCGATAAGATATTTGGAGGTATCAGAGGCAATTCAAAGGTTGGGATTGTCTTTGCTGGTTTCACTTCTACCTCAGTCTTCTTTCTCTTGAGGAATAAGGGGTGATCCTTTTGATCCCTATTCCCTTCAGTTTAAGGAATGAGCAATTCCTCAAGTTATTGTTCACTTAATATGGAGATGGAACCATTCAATTTTTATATAATTGAGGAGGAGATTGAATGATTCATGGTAGTTAGATTTTTAGGTGCTCTCTGACTCACGAGACTGTCATTTATATTTTATAGATTATCATTTTGTTACTAAAATCTATTTGTAAATTAGTGTTATTATTATTATTACTAATAATTTGAAAGACTCATTGTTTTATTATGATAATTATTGTTATTTTAGGAATTGGTAGTGATTTATTGATATTCTATCTTGGACATTTGCACATTTGATCTTTGCAATGTCTACTGGAGTTAGAGTGGGTCTTTGATATCCATCAAGGGAAAGGTTCTGTCTTTCTTCTTCTCTTGCTTGCCATCATAGAATGTAACCCCTTCCTTCATGATCATTAATTCGATTTAGGAGACTGATGTTTTAATGGCAAATTAATTATTCTATCCAATATTTTGACTATTCTTACTAGTCAATTATATGAGTTCTGATTGCACCTTGTGATTTGGAATAAGATCTCTCACTTCCACTAAACTTCGTTTTTCACTGATATTTTAGAATGACTTTGGATATCTCTCAATATCTGGAGGTTTCTGGACAACAACCTTGCCCTCATAATCAAAGGTGTATTTTGATTTGGAATCCACATTCAACCTTTTTAATTGCTTCACTTGTTCTTGGACTTCGAGTACTTTAATTTTGTCATTCTATTCTTTTTATTATTGAATTGTAATTTATCTCAGTTTAGCCTACCTAATACTTTCAATGTTTGGGTCGAATTCCTATTCTTCATCAGTATCCCCCATTTTGATAAGCTGAGAATCAAAGCATTCACTTGGTCTGGAAGTCCTTATGGTCATCAATTTGGACATTCTTTTTGTATCCTTCCTCTTGATCACTGGAGAGTCTGAGTTTTCTTTAGATACACCCTGGGTGACTTGACCTTGACACCTTCTCCAATGTTCTATGTCGACAGCAATTGGCTCAGGGTCTTCAATAACATTTTCTTCAAGATTGTCACTTCTCAAATTGTACTCATCCATCAATACAATAACCTAGTCTCTGAACCAATTGTATCCCAATTGAGGCAGAATGGAGTTCATGTGCTTGTTGACGATTATTGCCGAACTTTGTTGCACTATCAATTTGATGATACTTTTGGTTATCCATTAGGATTCGACATGAGAGACGCAAAGTTCTCCATAGATCGATTCTTAGTCGCCCATAAGCAGAATATTATTATATTGATATTAATATAAAATAAATAAATTAAGCATCAATTGTTATTTTTCTAGTATTTTTCTTCTAAGTATGCGTACCTTCTAAGTTCCTTCTCCACCCAATAAGGACAGTCAGGAATTGAAACATCAAGAATATATTTAATAAGTAATAAGACATGTTCTATCGCAGCAAGGAAGAAAGCGCTTACAAGGGCATCTTGATTCCCAATGATTCCCTTGAATTGCTCCTTATTCACAGTCCCAATCACGATGCAATTCATGAAAGTAGCACAATAGTTCATGATTTCAAATATCTACAACCAAATTCCGATTGAATCTGCAGCCTATGCTCGTTCCCTCTTCAAAATGTGCTGATAATTGTAGATTGACCATCTCAAATTGATGTAACAATTGATCATGAAAAACAAAGGAGCTGCTGGAAATGTGGGAGCAAACATGGTCGTGTATCCGAATTGAATTGCAATGCTTGTATACTCATCATATAGCACCTTCTATGGCTGTTTAATTCTACCAATCTCCAGTTCCTAAAGAAATGACAATTGTATTTCCGAATTCACTTGATCTGTACTGAATTTTTAATTGCAAATGTTGGGCACTTACTTCCTCTCCGCCAATTTCGATGTAAATATTCTCTTGAATTCTTAAAACTTCTTAGAAAGAATCCCCTTCTCCTACTTAAATAAGAAGTACGGCAAAAAGTTACTCTTCACATTGGATATCACTCCTCTCGTTATAATGATGCTAGCCACTGACACACTCAACTGAGAGGCATTATTCTCAAATATCGCCACGTAAACCACAGACACATAAGATATCAGAAACTCAAAAAGGAACACCTTCAAAATGTAAGAGTACTCCTGTTCAGATTCATACATATGGTTTTCCCACGTCACCAATGATGTACACAGCCGTTTGTATAAATCACAAAACACTGTCATTGAAACTCCATTTAAAGAATTAATCACTATAGGCATAATTTTATCGTGTTTCCATTCTTGCAACCACAGATTAAACGCATAAAAACTTACGACAATGATTGCTATCCCTATCAAAATAACAGGTCCTTCTGCAATCAATCGTCTCTTAAAAGTAGTAAAGTAATCGTATATCTAAATCTTGTTCGTCGCCTCGTTTATGATATACTGACCCGTATACATCACTCTTTACGGCTGAGATTGTCTAAATTTGTGCATATCCCAACAAAATTTCAACTCAGATTCTCGGTTCTTCCATTTCTCCATAAATAACGTAGACCAGAGTGTCATGAGTAGGGCATAGAAAGGAACAATTGAAGAACTAAAATTTCATTTATTCATACTTGACTTCCTCTGTTATTATTATGTAGATTCCCAAAGCCGCTCCAAAGAGTGATGGTATCATGAGCCAACCTATAATTTGTACATTTAAGGCTATGTACCATGCAACGACTGGGCCAAAATATGAGGCTATGGCATGCAAGGGTCTCAGAGCTATTTACTAAGTTTCGTATCGAATCGAATCGCGAATACAGTTATTTTGTTGTTCATCCCAAAATTAGGTGATCTTTTCGCTTTTCTGAATGTCTTCCAAAGGATAATGCGAGATTATCAGTTTCTCTAAGACGAATTTATCTACGTCAAATTCATCATTAAGAGTATTCAGTATTAGCATTTGCACTTGAAGATCCTTTGGAAATTCAAAGAAACCCCTCTTATCATAGTGAAATTAACATATATGCTACAATTAAAGATGTAACTTACTTTGGTTTTGAAATTGTAACATGATATCTAATAGAGGTGTGCCAGTTAATAAATTGAATCAGGAGGCAATTTTAATACGTAATAATGAAAGAGTGATTTAACCTTGTTTGTCTTCGTATTGTCATTGTACAGTTCCAGCTTATCAAGATCTGGAGCATGGAATATCAGGAATTCGAAGCTCCATCCTCTCTCTGCAAAGGTCTGCCTTATGTTTTGCAATTGCAAATACACGATGTCCTTATCTACACTCAGAGTACCCTTGGTTTGAATCACATACTAATATCCCAACTCAGTTAAACTGCTGATTGATTATTTGACTTGAATATTTTCTTTATAAAACTTCATAAAGTTTTGATTGAAAGTCAATTCAAAAGGTTTGAGGCATCTACTATTGACTGTTTCAACTGATACCCCATGCAAGATCAAGGTTTTCATGCACCCATACTTTTCCTATTCGATAGCCAAATGCAATGCGTTTGATGGATTTTGATCAGTCAGTATGTTTATGCATTCCTTCTATAAAGTATTATTAGCATATTAGATACCTTATCAAAGATTTAATCTTTGAGTGATTTTTTGTTTTTGTGATTGCCATCTCCAGAATAATCGTAGTATTCATAATCATTTTCTAAGATGATCTTCAAGATCTTGAGTTTCCCCTTGAAGGCTGCAACGTGAAGACAATTGAAGCCCTGATAGACATTCAGGAAAGGGTTGCACTTCCTCTTTAAGAAATAAATGAAAAATTCAGTATTGCCCTGACTGGCTGACCAATACTACAATCGACATTCATATATCTCATTTTTGGTGAGGTTGGCTTTGCTATGATAGATGGTAAACTTTTCCTATTCTTTCAGAGTTTGTCTCTCCAGATCGTGGACATTGAATTTATTGCTTTTCTGATGTTATCTCGAATGGACGTGTTTAGAAGGAGAAGATTCCTGGTTGAGTAATAAAGGAGGAGGTTAGGTTATAATGATATTACATTAATCAGCTGGTTAGAATTAATTTTCCTGATTGGTTTCAGTGTTTTTTTGATTTTGATTGGAAATCTTGATTTCTGGTATTTTCTCTTCTTCTGGTTCTTTCATTTCAATTCGAGAATCGTCGAAGAGAGGAATGTCAGCAATTTCGTCGATGTTCTTAGATTATATCTTTTGGCAGCAACTCCTTTGTTGGAACTTAATTAGTATTTATTGACTGGGAGTCTGCTTTTGATTAGTTTTGGGCATATTATTTTTGGAGAGGAAGGAATTTGAGGTTTGACTTCGATGATAATTGGAAATATTGGAATATGGTATTCCATTTTTAGAAGGTTCAGATTCTGGTGTTGATTCATCCTCTTTTATTTAAGTTTAAATGAACGGCTGTTAACTAGTAATGATGGTAGCTTATCTGTGCTTCTTCCTCTTGGGTTTTCTATTCAATGTTTGTTTGGTAGTTACCTGAGCATAATTGATGATGGTATTCTCAAATATCTCGCGAACTACTTTTCTAATAGGTAATATCGAAATTCATACTTGTATTAATCTGGTCTATTCTCCAAGAACAAGTAATCGATGGGATAATTGCCTTGTTGATCGGTTTCTAATTGAAGCTAAAAATTTTTTGAGATTAGAAAATCTACTAATTCTTTGTTCCCATAATAAAAAGCCCAATGTAATGGATTCGGCTTAGAGGTATTAGATTGCGGAATTTGAGCACCGTGATCAAGCAATAATTGTATCGTCTTTTCTTGTTTCTCTGGATTGTATTCGCCAGAATACCTTGAGAATAAATTGTAATATTGTGTACCCTTTGATGCTTGCTAATTCTAGGGGAGTGTAAGAGTGCATATCTCCTTTGTTTAAGTCGATCATCACCTTGTATTTCTTACACCACCACTTTAACAATTTATATTATCCCAAATAAGCAGCCCAATGCACGACATTTCTGTTTTGATCATCAACCATAGAAAAAAATGCCTGCAATTTTTATTGTGAAAACATTAACTAGTCTTCGAAATGCTTTTTCAAAGTAGCCTTATTTCCATCCTTTACCCATTCTAATAATTAAGTTTGAGTAATTTGCATATATTTTAAATAATGGAATAAATATTATATAAATAACTCTATTCATTCATCCTTTGTAACTGAACACATTCCAGATTCCGTCACTCACGGTTGTTCAACACATGTGAGTTTACAGAATTTTGGAATTCCGATAATGTTTTATTATATTATGAATACTACACTTTTGCTCAAAGATTAAAATAGGATCGTTTTAATACATATTAAAATCCTTGATTCGTAAATATTATAATAAAAATAACAAAATGCTCACAAAGTTGGTTAGTTTGGGTAAGATCAACTCAACGTGCTTCAGATCAGTCTATCAATACAATGTGTTTGGTGCTCCTTTTGAAGGATTGGATCCAGCCAAACACATCTACATGAATAAAGGACTCCAAAATCGTAATATTTTCAATTAAGTTTTCTAGAATATGACGATCTCTTTAGATTGGGAGATTACCCATATGTGAATGATTACCCTGTGATGATCGATTCACAATAGTATGTCCCATAAATTGCTGAATTGGTGGAATCTCACGTCAAATAGAAATTCGTAAGACTTGTTATCTATTATACAGCAAAATGCAACATTTACTGCTGGCGAATACAATAATGGCGATGTCTGGGCAGCAACTTGGAATGAGCTTGGAGTCAACAATTTCAAAGTTTTGGTTCCAAATCTCTTATTGAGACTCTCTGAAAGTAATCCCAATCAAATGATATCATTTTAGCCATCGTTGTCAAAGAATCAAAATGGACATGGACCAAAGAATAGAGATACAGATTACATGTGACTTAAACCGTACTTGGACCATAAGATTATACTCAAATGCCTACTTACTATTTCATTAACGATTACAACGCTGTTCTTTGGATGTTAGCAAGATAGTCCAATCAGTGGACATCCCCAGCAATCAGAGGAGTCCAAACTCCATTGGAGAAATAATTGCTTTAAGACCTATAACCAAAACCCAAGATCCAATCATTATTCAGAGACAGACCTGAAAATAATACATTCTTAAATAGGTTGTTAAAAGCAGTTCATCAATGAATATCAATAAAATAAACCATATTACATTATTATTTTTCATTATTTTTGCACCACTCTTAATTAATATCTTCCCATTTTTAAATTACTTTAAAAACACAATATATTAAAATACTCATTTCACATGAATTTAATCCATCTCATTAAACAAATCATTTCTCTAACATTTTTCATTTCCTATAATTCATTATATATTAAATTATTATTCTTCAATTTCATGCTCGGAAATAAAAATAATTTAACATACGAAGGTAATTATCTTATTCAATAATAAAAGAGAGATATCATAGCGATTAAAAAATACAGCAAAATATTGTCATCCTTTATTTGATATCCGTCTTTACTTATTCACTAGCAATTGTATTGCTTTCCTATTCGCAATATATCAATTTTAATTCCAACCTCCCCACCGACTTTGGATTACTAATTTACAATTGGGAACAAAATCCTATCAAATCGATAAGAATTGCTGAAGAAACTGATCTAAACTAAGTTTCTGCTACATTTCAAAATCAAAAAATTCAAACTTATAGAATTGACAATGAAAATTTTGCATTGACCATTGAAAAGTTAGATTCCTTCACCTTTGTTAACAATTACACACTTGATTCAGATTGCGAATAAGAATATCAATTATGCGGAGGTGTTGAACTGAATTCCAAATATTGCATTAACTTAAATTACATTACCTCGGCTTTCGAATGCCCTTTTAATGATATCCTAATTCAATAGAACTTTACGAATGGCTATCTCAAAAACCAGAGTGTTAGTCTGCAAAACTTTACGAATTATTTCTATGAAACAAAATTGCAATTGCGATAAGGATCTGTAAATAAAACAATTATGGTGTTGTCCTCAGTTTAATCGAGACAACCTATAACCAATTTCAGATTTGGATTTAATGGAAAAGTTTGCAAAGATTCAGCTGAATTTCAAGTATGCTCAGAAAACCTATTGAACTACAAGGAAATTACAAAAATGAATGCCTCAGAAGTACTCACTCTCAATGCAATCACCAATGCCAATAACATTACAATCAATGATACTATTGGATTGTACGCTGAAAGATATATTGAATTTAATATGGACTGCAGATACACTCTAATTGAAAGAGTCTTGGAAAGTCCTGGTTACTACAAGGATTTGGGCTACATATTGTACATTCAAACTCTTTTTACTTTGGTATATTGCATATTTATTGGAATAATCCTAAACTTATTACACTTTTTCATGCTCTCTGATTTTACTTTTATTCTGGTCCTGCCCATAATGAATCAGCAACAAGTCAAAATCATAAGAAGGATAGTCTATGCTATTAGGATTATTTCCTTCTTATCTTATGGCATTATCATTTGCCTTTTGTACTTCTATGAGGCTCAATTTCATGATACCATTAATAGAATTGTGAATAGTCGTTGCTTAGAAGAGAATTTCTTATATATCATGAGTGATACATTAGACGAGATTGATAAATTTAGGTCAAATTAAATTGCAATCTTTTGGATATTTATAGTCAGCTTGATCTTAGAATTGTTCGCCTGTTTTATCATTGTCTATAGGGGAGCTAATGTTAAGAAAAAGAACTTACTATAAAAATGTATATTCACTTATTATTCTTTTAGAATATGAACATGAATTAGAGATTAAGCATGATGATTAACAATATTTATTTAAGACTGAATAGAAATAACAATAGAATAGAGTTTTACCTAGACAATCCTTTACTCCCAATGATAAGTAAGCAATAAGATAATCAATGATATCTGAGAATTCCTCATCAAGAAGGAACAAAAATAATAACATGTTAGCTGACATCAATGAATAGGAAGAATTCTAAAATCCAAGGGAGTCAATCAAACCTGTTTTTTAACATAACTAGTCTCCTCACAATACCATGCAGTCTCCAAACAACTATTAAGGATAAAGAATTTAGTTTAACTCATGAAATTTAAATTTATCAATCAACCTTAACTTTTATTTTATTAATATATGATTGACACTTGAATTCAAATTAATTGGTCTAATCTCATTATTTTTCATGATTATTAATTAGAATGGGTTTACTAATTTCAATCTCCTTCGTTTAAGATGACATATCCAGAAAGATTTGACTATGATAATTAATCTTAGTTGCTATTGTTAGAAAATGGGTAATGGTAATTTAATTATTTATTATTTAGATTGGAAAACCTCAACATCATTCAAGTAATATCACACCTTAGCCTGGCATCATAATTGTATTAATTTTATATTTAAATTATTATATACTAATAAGATTTTAATTGGATTTTTATCAGTTCATGAAAAATAGCTAAAGTGTTAAAAATCTTAAATTTAAAGTTCCAATAATCTCAAGCTGAAGATTTACTTAACATCAGCACATATAAAAAGATAACAAATCATTTGATATTTGATATGTACTTTATCAAATATATAATATTATCAAAATTAATAAATGCTTCTTAATAAGTCTTGAAAACCAGTAGAAATCCTAAATATATATTTATTCTTATAAAATTTTAAATACATAATAATATATAATAGCAAATAATAATATAATTTAAGTTCATATCTTTGTAGAGTATTCAAATTTCAGTTTACACTTCAGATTCATCAATATTCTTTGAAGAATTAGAAATAATAATCGCTTTTCTTCGTATTTTTCATCTAACAATATCTCAGTAATGATCTAAAGTGAATGGTTTAGTTTTGGTGAATCAGGTGAATCAGGTGCTGCAGTTGCTATGCTTCTACCATCAGCGTTATCAAAATTGACTTCATTTTCATAATTTACATGGTGCTGCAAGTGATTGATGCGAATTATTTAAGGATAAGCATTCGATGTTCTAACTGAAGAGTTTCCCATTAATTAAATAATAAATTTTTAGCAAATTTTTCTGTATTTAATGCAGAATTTAAATACAAATTTGAAACTTAAAATTTTATACATTTAATATAAAATTAATGAAATTCAAAGAATTTATTGTATATAAATAAGTTAATTATGATTGAAATTAATATACAAGGAATCAAATAAATAAGTTTTATTATACATATAAAATATAGAAAGATCAAGGTACCGAGTCAAGTTTTTGTCATCTTTTGATTAGTCTAATCAAAGTTTGTTAAAATTTGTATCGTTCATCACATTTCAACAGAGTGGTTACCTTTGAGTTTTTGTTATTGTTAAAAATAACTTCTTGGATCTTAATCTACTATTACTAGGTCAAAGATTTAGAGTTTTAGTAAGGAGAAGGAGGCTTAGAGCAGGTTGGAGGTGAGTATAGAATCTGTTGTTTAGAGTGATCATAATTTGATAACAGTTTTGACAGAGACTTTTCTTTGGCCCCAATCAACTGAGACTAATTTGATTTCTGTTTCTGGATAGAGCACCCCATTCTCTTCTTTAAATAATTTAATTTAGTCAAATATTTGGATTTATAAATCAAATTTATTCATAAATTCATACTTTAATTCTAACATCGGTAATGTTTAAAAAAGAATACAATTATAATATTCTTGATCTTTGAATCTAATACCAGAAAAAATTAATTATGAAGTCAAGTAAAGATTTAAATTTCACATTCCTGAATAAAATTCTTAATTAAATTTACATTTCATAGTGTTGTAATTTAGATGTTTTACCTTTATTTATTCCTGTTGAAAAAGATTAAATATTGGATAATCGATTTCAAATTATTATTTTGATTTATATAATTCCTGCAATATGAATCAATAATTCGACATGTAAGCGTTTGAATTTAATATAATTTTTTACGCAATTAAAACTCAATACTGGTTGAAAATGTTAGTATCTTTTGCTTAAGTTTTGTTTTACGTTATAATATTGTAAATATACTATTTAATTTCCTTTGGATTGTATTAAATCAATAAATACATATTTACTCTTTTTTTTTTTACATTCTTTTAATCCTCTTACGTATTAAACACGAAAATATTATTTGTTTAAATTTTACTCTTAGTTATATGAGTTATATCTTTGCCTTCTCCCTTTTGAGAGTTTTAATATGTTTTTTGAATCTTAACAAAAGCATTGAAGTATTTTTGAATTTCCTTGCTCGTCTTTTTTAATTCTTGTTAGTTGTTCTCACAAATCATACTCAACTCCCTTTATATAAATCTTTTATATCTATAGCTTCAAAGATTAACACTTATTAATCCAAGCTATTCCAAAAACTATTCCAATATACTCTAACTAATTAATTGTTTCAAAAGCTCCTCAAAACTCCCTGAATTCCTTTTCTTCATTGTCAAATGGCAAATCACTAAAAGAAGGCTCTTTTAAATGATCGTTATAAAGATTTTCTTACTATTAATCTTCTTCTTCTTATATTTTACCGATAATCACCGTAGCTCTACTATTGATTTAAATTTTTCTTTCATAGTTCTTCGATTATCAGATATAGATCTCAACCACACTGTTTCAATCTAATCATTTCTAATTCAACTATTGCCATATTCATTGTATAATTTTCTAAGATGTTCCTAGCCTTGATACTCAAATTACCTAAAAATAATGTCGATCTATTTTATCAGCCTCAATTTACTAGTTATTTCTTAATTTTTTTGAGTCCTTTGATATTGCCATCTTCTATAACAACCCTTAAATTTTAATATGAATCTACTTACATTTCGAATATCTCTATTTGCTTCAAAATAGATTGTTGATTTAGAACCTTGTTTATTTTAAAAAGAAGGTAAAATAGATGAAGGCATCTTTGAAATTAATTATGGCAATAACTAATAATCATAGTGCAAAAAATGTAAACAAATTAATGAGATACCAAATTCACACTTTTGTTTATAGATCTTACCTGAATTCTCGAATATATATGTTATATTATAGATTAAATTAAATTTACATTTAAAACAAAATTAAGCATATATAAATAATCATTGTTCAAGCATGTTGTTTGGAAAAGCACAGTTGTTATCATCTTCTTACAATTCTCTGCGTGTTACAAATGAGGTTTAGAAATAAGATTAAATGGCGAGTGTCTCATTATGTTTACTTTGAATATTGTTAGCATTCTATTTAATAGTGTAAGTCCAGAAGAAATGCAGTATTTTCATTTCTCAACTATTAAGGGTTGTCATTTCTACTAATAAATACCGCCATTTTTTCCTATTTTATAAATCTCGAAAATTTACAATGCTGTATATATTTCATTTAATCAGTTATTTGCGAAACAACAATCTTTCTTAAAAGTATTTGAATTATATTCTCTAGTTAGTCACAAGTATTAATGTTCTATGATCAGATTATTTACTAATGTCTATAGCATGTCCACCATAATCTCATTAATTTAGACCTAGATATTTTTCGAATGTCCTTAAGTCTCTTACAAAAGCATTATTTAATTAATTCAATTATGTAGTATCCAATATTAATTGAGACTATATTGGTTATTGTAATGATAAGGTAATTATAGGAATCATAGAAGTATACATAAATGAAGTTTTTGATTCCATAGTTAGTTTAATAATTACCTGAATGACTTTCCAATAAATCTACAAAGAAACTAAGTTATTTGAAAAACTATTGTTTCTTTATTTATCTATTTCACTACTAATCAATTTATTCTGGGGATATCATAATTGAATAATCTAATTTTACTTATTATTAATGTGAAATTGCTTAATTTTTCAACTACTTTTGTTCTTATTATCTAATCTTTAATATGAAATGATCAAAATGCTTGTTGCATACTATATTTTATCTAAATATATCTGAACACTAATAGGAAAGCTTGGAGAAAATGAATAAAGCATTATAATTAATATATTATAGTTTTTTCTAAATCCTGGCAGTCATTAATATAAATGCTTATACTTTTTATTTTATTTGCATCAAGTATTGAAAAGCTCACATTAATTCAACCAGAAAGCCTTATTGATAAATTGGGCTCAGAAATTAAATATGGCATAGCCCATTTTGGGTATTAAGTAATTCATAAGTAGTGATATACCTTGGGGTTAAAGAATGATTGGTACACTGATTCCAACATATCCTATTGATGGATGTGGTTCCATCTTACCTTCCAAAGACCATGACTTTATTTTTATTGAACGAGGAAAATGTACTTTTGTTACTAAAGTGAAGAACGCTCAAAATGCTGGATTTAAATTTGTCATCATTGGAGACAATGCCAATGAAGATATCGACAATTCTTTTACTATGCTTAATGATGGATAAGGATCTTCCATTCATATTCCTTCCATCATTATAGGTAGTAAATGGACTAAAGAGTTTAAGGACATATTTAGTAATTATGCTACGATTTCAGAGTATTCAATTAAACTACTTATGAAATTTGATGTAATCAAATAAATGAGAGTTGATGTTTTATTCTCTATTGATTTGTTAAACAATAGCTCACTTCAAATTATCAGCGACTACAAACCTTATCAATAGTTATTCGATACCAATTAAGTTTAATATCAATTTTTATATCCTATTTACAGTTTGAAAATGAAAGAGGATGACACCACTATTATTGATTCCTTAAATTGCATTTCTGATGGTAGATATTGTACTTATGATCCTGATGGAGATGATTACGGAACAGGACAAGATGTCATTGAAGAAGTAATAAGATAACTTTGTTTACAGAAATTAGACATTGATGTATTTTTTAATTATTTAGTACTAATCTCAATATATTGTAGGACTTATTTAAAGATAAATGTAAGCTTCCTTATATGTATGAATATTGTTTTTCAGAATTGCTTATTCGATTAAATTATTCAATCTAGACAGTAGAAAATTGTTATGATGATTCTTTCAAAAAGTTAATCAATTAATCAAAAAATAATTTGAATTTTTACAATACTTTATTGGAAGAGTAGTTAGAAATAATTTCTGAATTCCCTTATACTCAACTCCCACCTGTGATGTTGAACAATCATGTTGCCCTAAAAAATATCACAGCCAAGAATATATTTATTAATATTTGTGAAGGTAATATTTGATCTTACAAGGTTTCTTAAATCCCCCTGAAATATGCAGTAATTAAAAAGATGATTGGCACATAGAGGACCTCTCATAACAATCTAATTCCTTATTATAATTACTTATCATCCTATTGGCTGTTCTACTTATATTTTTACTAGTAGCAACACTAGTCTATAAAAAGATAGTGAAGCGTGCTTCGCAAGAATAAACAACAGAGTAAGTGCACGAGCTCGTCACTTAATATATAAATTTTGTGGAAACCAAAGCTTCAAGACAGAAAAATAGTTAATGAGTGAAATCAAATTTATAATTAATGTTAAACTAATAAAATATACTATTTAATAGAATTATTCTATAACTCAAGTAAATTGTTGATTTTCTTCTATATCAGTTATTGTATTATATTTATCATTAAGAATTATCAAAGCCAATTAATTAGCTTTAGTAAAATCTAGTTAGTATGTGTTCCAATCAGAATGAGGGTTTTCAGAATTTATTCTTTATCCTAAATTATTATAATACAAGCATTTGAATTTCTGAGTAGAATTTGAATCACTAATTAGAGTAACTGAACTATCTTAAAGGTTCACAAAAATTGAATTTCCATCATGTAGGTTAGTTGCATGATGCTTTAAGCTATTTATACTTTTAAATAAGCAAGATTTATTGCAAAATACATCCTAACATAATAAACAAACAGAGATTCCTGAATATTAAAAGTTTTATTCTTCAAAGTTGCAATAACTACATCCCTCAGAAAAATATTTACTATGAAATTATAGAAATGTCTATCCAAGTTTATTATAAACTTATTGAATGCCTTAACTCTAAAGAGTTTTGTAATAGTTTAAAGTATAGTCTTCTTGAGCTATATTTAAGACTGCATCCAATTATTATTATTTCATGATTTCCTCTTCGATTCCAAAAGAACTTAGAAACAGTGAGATTTCCACGTTACTTAATTACCTATTTGTACTGATTAGGTCAAGTATATCTGATCTTAATTCAGATAAAGTAGATTAATTCGTCAAAATGTTGTAAATAGAACTCACAGTATTAAACACTAAATTATTTTTCTATTTTGGAATTTATAATTAAGTCAACATTTTTCTACTATTTTAATCCATTTCTAAAAAGGTTTCATAATAGCAAATAAGTAATTGCTTGAACAACACATTTTTTTGAGACCTCCTATAGTTTTCTGCATTAATAAATAATGAGGTCACCAAATCAAAAAATAAATTAATGTATATTTACACTAACTTATTCATCGAATTCTAATTCTCTTCTAAAGCAATATCTAAATGATAAGTTATCAAAAGTAAATCTGAATTAAAACTCTTCAGCTTTTGTTTGTCTATATCATCAATAGGAAATCTTTAGATTACAGACTGTTTACAAATTGGGCAAATTAAATCTAATTCGTAGCTTCCAATATCTTCATTTCTCATGTAATCGCTTTGAAAGTACTCAGTTAAACATTAATCATGAAAGTAGTGTTTACATGTTTATATTCCTAAACATAAATTAAATTTTAATAAATTTTCAAGCTTCTCATGAGTTCCATCAACCACTTGTGATTCAGGTTTAAGAAAAATAGATAGGGTCCCCACACTGTTTTAAGCATTCAAACTAAGTTTACAAGCATAACATAGATTCTCATCTTTTATTGCTATTTCTTATTGTTACTCTTCATTTAATATTTGCTATATTAGATTTGAAGACTATATGGTATTGAACTTTGCCTTATATTTATCCTTTTAAGCCTAAAATTTCAACTTGTTTTATTTATTTTCTTATATCTATGATTTATTCAATTCATTAATTGATGAAATAAGAACTTTTATCATTTATTTCTCTTCCTTTTTCAAATTCATATTGTAAATATTTTCCAATTGAACTCTAACAGTATCTGCAAAATTTTAGAATGATATTTAATCAAATTTACTAAAAAAGGCAAGCTGAGCATAAACAAGTTGGCACATCTCTTATAGGAAATTAGTATTCTTATTTAATTATTTCAGATTTGTAGTTTCAGCAGTTCCCTACAAAAACTTTAGATTTTTCAAAAATAGACTATTTTGGCAGTAATTCATCAACATTAAATGCTGTAACACTCTATACCTCTAATTTGAAAATTATTCAATATCCCATATAATCCCATTTCCCAATAAAATTTCGCTTTCAGATTTTTTTTTTTCAATTAATCTTTCGATGATCTCATTTTTTAATCCTTTTTAATTTTATATAAGACCAGGCTCATAGAATATTTGATATTCAGCTTTTAACTTTAATTTTTTTGTTGTCTAGTCAAGTTCACATATTTATAAAATATGGTTTGAAAAATTTTTAGTTATAAGCACTCCAGAGTTTTAGAGTTTCTCTAAAATATCTCCATACTCTAATGAGTTTGAGAGAATAAAATAATTACCCATCATTCTCGCTAAAGTCAATTTTAAATCATTTGATAATTCCTTCAATAATGGGCTACATACATTATATAGATCCTAATCATTTAGAATCATGCCAACAAACAGTTACCTAATAATTATTAAGATATATTTACTAAATTATTCCGGTTAATTGTATATCATTGAACATACTGTTTTATTTTTTGAACTATTCCAACATATCCTAAATTTTAGAAAACCCATGATTGCCGTATAAAAATATATATAATTTAAAGAGACAGGTGTCTACTCTATGAAATTAGGAATACTCTATGAAATTTTCTGTCCCTTAATAAATATTTTCTAGTTCTGAATTTTTATTGTATTGAATTATCAAATAAACACGAAGAATACTTTATAATAATGAATTAAGATTAAATTTAAACTCTTATTCATTTTCATCTAAAATATCAAGTAAAAAATCCAGGAATTATCCTCCATTTTTAAATTATGTCCCACAATATAAGTAACCTAAATAAGAAATAAACAATTTCTGTATTACCATACCATTTTTAAACGTTGGTTGATTGTAATAATCTTGAGTTTTTCTGAAAGTTTTCTTTAGGATATTGTACGTTTAATAAAAAAGGAGCTTTATTATGTTTTTTTCGAATATTTCATTGTTATATCTCTTGAATAGACTCTCTAAACCAACACAAATTGCACTATAATAAGTTGCTTAATCCATAGTATAATGAACAGTGTGAGCTAGTTCAATTTTTTTATTCTATTAATTAGATTAATTCATCGTCTAAATTCCCTACCCTAAACTGTTAATTAATGTTGTTATTGCGAACTAATTATAGTTGAATTATTTTATTAGATCAAATTTGGCATCTTATTTTGTAAATGAATCAAATTTGTTGTTTAGTATTTCTTTTAATTAATCTAAAGCTATTTATCCGAAGGCCTTATATCCAAATCTCCTTCTAAATAATTATGGAAGGACTAATTAACTTTTAGAACATAAAGAATTTGAAGAATAATGCAATTTTTCCATAGTAACTACAAAGTCCTATATATTTTAGTTTTACAAGAAGAATTATTTTTGCATTTCGAAAGATACAAATTAAGATTCAGTTGTGAGAATATTACTAGTGTAAACAAAGTGGATTAATTGTAAATTAACTTTTAAAGCTGAATTTATTTGATCAAAAAATTAATAGCATAAAGTAGGATTCAACTCATTAAATTTTACTTTTGAATCATGCTGGGTTGTTTTGAATTAATCAATCCACCACAGATTAGAGAAATTTTTTAATAAAATAGAAAACAGTTAGGCTTTAGATTTTTCATCAGCATAAAGTTAATAAAGAATTTTATCTATCTTCATGATTTTGAAATCTTGATAAGGTTCAAAATAAACTTAATACTTCAAAATCTTTTCCAAATATGTGTGTTTAGAATTCTTTCTATTCTTACTCGAAAGGATATTTTAAATTAAAACTAAATATCTCTATCTATAATTAATAAGAGAGTCAATTGTATTAATTATGAGAGTCTGAGTATTAGATGCTCTTATAATTAGTCTATAAAGTTATTCAACTGCATGCTTTGTCTCAAACTATGGCATTAGGAAGTATTTTTAATTTTACATAGCAAAATGAAAGAGAGTTAGAAATGCAATATTGATATTTGATTCACTTTTAATTTATTTCATCCAACTTGTGAAATAACCAATGAGTGTTTTAAGAATATAAGTAATCCTCTTTTTTACCTTAATAGAAGTATTTACCACTTCATCGTTCTCGTCTTAAACATAATTTTTATGTTTGGAACAAAACCCATGTCTAGAAATAATATATTCACAACCACAATCGCACATTCCCTTACTTTTTCCATTTATAATACATTAGTGGCCTCATAATTTAATAAAAATATTCTACCTAAATGTTATTTCGGATCAAAGCACTCTTTGCAATATATATGTGTTGCTTCAATTCCACATGTAAAACATTAATAACTTAATTCATTTGTAGAAATTAATGTTGAGCAATGCTATTTAGATTAATGGCGATTAACAGCCCAACTTTTAACTTTTTAATGATCTGGGAAAATATTTCTGAATAATATAAATGGTCCATATTCTGAAAAGTCGCCTTCATAGTAGTTGAGACGATTAATATCAAATTTTTTTTAGAGATTGTTCATATTTGGAAACTACAATTAATTAATGCTATTTAGAATGTTTCATTTAATAAGAAATATATCTAATTCTATTATACTCAAGGTTAAATAGAATTATAGAAATATTTTATGCACTTCGATTATAAAATTATCTCAATGAATATTGCGAGTTGATTGAGGATTTCTAATTAGTATTCGATTTTATAGGTATGGATTTGAAGAAAGTTTTCTTTTTTTTAAGAATTTTGCATAAATCGTTCGTATATGTATTGTGAAAATGCGATATACTTGAAAATATATTTAATTATCCTAATGATTCTTAGAATAGATTTTTTAAGAATTAAGAGATTTAATAATGTGCTTTTCTATTTACCATAAACTTTATTTATACTATATTTATTATGAAGATATAATATCATTTTTTATTAACCATTCGCAGAGAAACTATTGGAGAGTAACATTTTTCGAAAGCCAAAATTATTATTTTCAATAGTTTGATAATGATAGTTAAAATCTTAGATGTCATTTAATTTAAAATTTAGGATTTGAATTGCTAAGATACTTTTGGTGAAAGAAGCTGTACAGCTTATACTTGCATATTTTTAGACTAAAAAGTCCTTAAGCTGTTATAATAATTCAAATTAAAAAATCCATAATTAAGAAATAAAGAGCCAGGTTTTACAAAAATCTTTATTTTATATTCTATAGAAACAAACAAAGAATATTTGCGAAAGATAATTATTATTTTTATGTATATATAATAAAATTTTCATAATTTTAGTAATGTTTTTGTTTAAGGAAAGTTCAAACTATTAAATATTTAGTTCCTTTGTGGTTTTTTATTTTAAACCTCATGAAAACTAAAATCTTATGGTCTAATTATAGGTTTAGCTTTCAATAACTGGTTTTATTTAGCCACATGAGATTAAGGCTAAATTGGTATTAAGGGTTTTTTAGCTTTCTTATTACTTTTTCTCACTCTTTCTCGAAATTGTTTAATTTTATCAGGAGGATTATAAAATACATCTTTAGGCATTTCTTATAAATGGAATAACTCTTGGCTTATTTTATTGCAGTGTCCATCCTGTGTTGATTCATGAGAAATGAAATTCATTGAAGGTATGTGTTAGATTTTCACATTTTCATCAAAATCTAAATTCGATATAACTAATCTATATTAGTAATATGCATACTATTTTTATGCTTAATGCTAAACGTTGAAGAATTCAATCAGATTGGAGAGCTCAAAAGATGGTAATCTTAGTAGATTTTAAAACATTTCTTAATTTATAGTTAACAATTCATTCAATAGTTTATTATTCTGTTATGAATTAGTTAGGGTTTATATGTATTGTTTATTCAAATAATGTGATCTATTTGAGTCTTCTAGTTTATAGACTTATAATATACTTGAAAGTTGTTAATTTATAAAATTTACTAGTGTGGCCTCACATCCTGTTTCATTTTAATTAGAAACAACAACTATGGATTTTTACACATATATGCATATATTTGCATTATTCGAAAGTAATGTTGATTTAATAGCTGTTACTTATTTGCTGTTAATTAATGCTTGGATATCAATTTATGGAGACCATGTGATAATCTTGGTTCTTTTACCAGCCAAAGTTTCAATATTTTGGATGTATGCTTATTCCTAATAAATCAGATCATCATTACATAAAATGATAACACATGGCAATATTTATATGTAGAGTCATCTAACTGAACCTAAAATTAATGGATTTTAGATGATATTCCAATATCCTTCGAATTCAATTTGGTTGGATGTATCAACTTGTTATCATGTGAATATAATGAAGGTTGTCCTTAAGAAAAACATTATGATATTGAATGTGAAATCAATGGGGATTTTTTAAGATGAGAGGGATATATTTCTAATATTTCTGGCTCGTATTCATTTTTTAACAACATATCCAAATTTGGCTCTAATAATGTATACTTGCATTACTTTTATCAATATCATATCCTACAATAGCACATAATTCAAACATAGATGTCGATTAATTATTTTAAATTATATAATAAAATACTTGAATGAGTATCCGTTGTGATTTTTTGTTATTAAATTATAATGAAATAAAGAAATTTGCACTTAGGTTAATCAATCTAAAATAATACCCACCTTTTTTAAGTCTCAAACTCACATTTCATAGGAGGAAAGTTGATCAGTGAAGTAGAGAATCATAAGATTTAAGATATTTTTCGAAGCACTCCTTTATTATATTAATGGTCATAATTAAGCTAAGAATTACACACTGATGTCTAATCTTTAAATAATAAAAAAGATTTTAATTTTATTATGATCTTTACCATAGTTTGAGCTTAGATTTAATTCTGCATATTGCCTTATGATATCAATTGTCAAGATCCATTGTAGTTTTAATCTATGATATTTATGCATTTCTCTTTTTGTGTATTGGATGAATTTTATTTATTTATAACATGATTGAAGCATTACTTATGCGAATCAAAAATAAATTATATATATATCATATTATTTAAAATAAAAAATGGCTATCAGAAACAGATTGTTCTAGGCTTTCAATACCGTCCATAGGTATATTAAATTGATAATCTTAGAATTTTTAACGTTGAGGCCAAATTCTTACCATACACCTGCACAACTAGAAATGAAGCCTTAGTACAGAATCATACCAAACATCAATCCTACTTACAGTATTATATTTTCTATGAAATAGCTATGCCAAAAAAGATTAGAATCTCTAAAATATCACTAGATCCACATTAGATGATTTCTAAAAATTGGAATTTAATGTCATCTCCCAATTTTAGAGAAAGGGACTAAGTATTATTACATCTCTCATAATAGATAATCAACATGTGGACCCACATTAAATCATATACTAATTGGATAGAATTGAAGTCTTAAGAAAATTAAAGTAGATATTTTTATTAACTTCTAGAGTTTTGGAATAAAATGCAGGAGCATTTCCAAAAGATGAAGCTGAATGCTTAAAACTAATTGCCAAAGTCCACCTAGAAGAACCAAAGTAAAGCAAAGTTATAACTATTAGCGCTTAAGAAAACTTAGATAAATTTATTGAGGCTAATCCACAATGTAGAAGATTATTGTACCTTGGATAAATTTGAGCATGATCAATTATTACAAATAAACAACAAAATCATAAAACAATATATGTAATTGCATTTCTTTTTAAATCTATGAGTTCATTTACAGAAAATTTAGCAAATATTAATTTTTATTAATTAATAATAATAGCATTATGTTATGAAGATTTCTTAGAACCAATGTAGGATTTTTAAATTAAATATATTTTTCATGTTTGTTCTGCACCTGCTCAATAAAGATTGTTAACGTACTAGCGAAGATTAGATTTTTGTTCCTTTTTGGCATCACATTTTCTTTTGTAATTTATTTTTGCTGAAACTAATAATTATTATCTGCATAACTACTTCCGATTTTTTAATTATTTATGTCTTTCACCAGTTGCAAAATATCTAAAGTGGATTAAAATGTACCTTTCTTTTGATAATTTAAATGTTCATATTTATTTTAATTTTTAGCTTTATCTGTGCTGAGTTTATGAGACTCTTCAGATTTTATTGTTTCTGATTCTTTCCTTGAATTTGAATAGGGTTTCAATGAAAATAGTCTAATTTAGAAAAAAGAAATTACTATCTAGTTTTAAACTAAATATCATCGTTGATGTGAGGAGAATATTGCCTATAATAAGCATCCTTGTATCTAGATTTTTTCAAATCACCTCCTGAAAATAGTAAACTAGCATAGGATTTTTATTTATCAGAAATATTATTTAGTTTTGAATCTAAGGTCTCTTTAAACTTTTATGTTGCATGAAGTTATTTATTGGGCGAGTTAGGAGTAGCTTTTTTCATCATGTTTTGTAATATATTTGAATAATTCGTAGGATCTTATCTTAAAATATTTAATTCTCCAACAGATGTAGAGTTTTTTGTGCTTCTAAATAAAATAATGATTTCATACTGTATTTTTCTGATCTATTATAAATTATCTTCTTTGAAATAACCGTTTTTTGTTTAATGCAAAGTCAGATTTTTGTGAATTGAAGTAGATACTTCATTTTTGTTGGCTTAAGGTGTTATCACATTTGAACTAAGATTTTGTTTAGTAGAAGAAATACAAGTTCATATTTTTATTCTAATCTAATTATGAGTGATTTGCGCTTAGGTTTAAGAATGATTGTTTCTATTACATCATGACGCTTGCTTTTATGTTTTCTTTTTTATTATAAATTTAGGTAGGATTTTGAACCTCCATACCTAAGTATTGTGGAACTTAATTGATAGATTATTTATCCTGATTGTGGTTTTAATTATCATTGTTTTGGTTTATAATTGATTGAGTTTCAAGCATTTCAACCTATTAATTTAAACTTTATTTTTTACATTATTTTATAATTTGATTATCTCATAATGTAATTTAGCATTTTGTGTTGATTTTACATTGAGCTTTTCAATTAAATAACATATTTTTTCTTTATCATTTAAATTATTGTGATGACTACACATAAATTATTCTCTATCCTACTTTGGAATAAGTTAATTATCAATTTATGAAATAAGATTTGCTAATTTTTGATTTTATTGTTTCAACTGCATTTATTCTGCCTACTCTATTTCTAATTTGGTTTATAAATCTTAGATAAGGGCATTTAATTCTACGATTTCAAGTTTATACTAATTTTTAATCCTATCTTTATCATTTTACAATTAAAATATTTATGATTTTAATTCTAAATCATTCATTTAATTTTATTTTTATTATTATTTTATCATTGTTTATTCATATGAACTAGTGATATTTTGTTCAACTTGAGGAATTGCAATTTATATTTATTTCTTCACTTTTGATAAACAAAGAAACTTACATCCTGCCATAGAAGATCCATTTTATGGAAAAGTTTACTTTACTTTATCTTTGTTTTTAGGTGCTGGAGGCTCTTAAACCAATTTAGAATTAATATTTGATAAGTTCTCGTATTAAATTTGAGTATTCTCCGAATTATCTCTATTTCCATTATTTTATGGATAATACTCTTCAAAAATTATCTTTTAAACCTTTTTATTGTCATTGTCTTCATCTGGAAAAATTAACAATAATTTTATACCGATTGGTAAGTGTATAGGTTTAGAACTGCTTGATTCATCATTTTAATAGCGTTCAAAATTTGATGATTTTGATTGATTCAATGGATCAAGTTCTTTTGTTTGTGATTATTGTTGATATTGATTGAAAATATCATCAATTTAATTAATTTCTTAAGCCTTATTAATCACATTTTTTTACTTCTGGAAGTATCTCTTTTTAGGGTTACTGGTTTTCCAGATAATCCAGTGTTAATCCTATTGGCTTTTTTGTTTTAAATTTAAGCTAACTAATTTTCATAACCTCAGAAAGCTTGCCTTATTTTAAAAATAAGTTAAATAAATGTTTAATAAGAAAGACTTTAATACAAGAATAGAAATCAATTACAATATCCACAAATATACTCTTTATCGTCATAACATCCATCTATCAAATCCACACATTCGAAGTGGTACCATTTCTGACATTTATCACACTAAAAAATAAAATTTAAAATTTACTTAAATGTAGTTGAGTTCAGGATTCCATGGTTATTGACATAGACAGTACAACTAGATTTCATTCATATTAGTAAATTTTTTATTTTCAACATCCCATTCAAGTCTGTTATAATATGTGGTCAGATCACTGTTTTCGAGATTGACAAATTCATCACAATTAACTACTTAGCACTTCTAAATTATGGTTTAAGCAAGAATATAATCGTTCTTTTTGGTTGAAAATATTTCTTAAGTTCCAATCCAGCATCTAGCTCTTGGCTTATGATTTACAATTTCACTCTTTTTCAAGAACCATTAAACTTAACACAGGCAAATTAACTTGTTGGTCGATGGTTCTAAAACAGAACAAATTTTCTATATTGTTCCAACATAATCTTCAACTTTATGATCACCATTTTTTATTATAACATTATCATTGATTTTTAATATGCTGCCTTGAATCTTTATCTCGTCATACTCTTCATAAAGATCCTCATTGCTTTTCTAGGCTTTAGTTACTATTTCAGCTAGTTTGTTCTATTTATATAATGACTTATATGTGGTTTCCTAGAGACCCTTTTCGTTTCTCTTTTATATTCTTTTACGTATAGGAGGCAATGTTTCTGAAGATTGCCTATTGAATTTTGATGGAGATTCATTATTAACATTTGTCCAGTGCATCACACTCATTTTTTTTTATTTTAATTGAAAATTCTAATTATCATTTACGCAATAAATTGCCTCAAACTTGTTTACTACCATTAACATCGCTTTAAAATTTTATTGAAATAAAAAAAACCCTTTCTAGTACTTTTGCTGATTCTCAATCAACCTCAATTTTCATTTTGAAACTATGTTTTAAATTTTCCATTTTACACAAAAAATAGTATAAGATTCACAACGATAATGGTATATAATTAAATAAAATTATTATTTTTAAAAACCTATTATTCATCAATTATTCAAAAATTATTCTTTATTTTATTCAACAACTTTTAAAATATCTTCCCTAGTTCCATTAGGATTCATCGCCTGCCAAATCAAAACATTTTATTTCACTTCCTTTATTTATTTTGCTTCTACTTTCCAAATTTACTTTATTTCATTGCCCTAAAATTTTTATAAGACTTTACATCTATCAAAGCCTTTGCATTATAAAATTCTTATAAATTTTATGAATAGACGAAATTTTAAAATTTCTCATTCAATTGAGGTGTCGCCTATGGATCATTTATGAATTCTTATAAATAATCTAAGTAGAGAATTAGTTCCCATTATTATTTAGCATCTTGTAAGAAGGTGACTAATTTTAAAACAATAATTATACCTAATCTTTTGTAATTATTAATTAGTTCTTCTTTTTTTAACTAGTTGAATTACTCCACTAATCTACATGCATTATAAATATCATCAGTTGACTTTCTTGTCATCTTATAAATATTTAATATATCATACTTTTAAGGATTCTGCCAATATATAGATAATAGAACTTTCAATATTCTTTCCTTTTTTATAAGTTATATTTTGATAAGGCAAACAAATGCAACATAGATTAAGATACAAGTTTAGTTATTGCTAGCTTTCAAAGCCATGGATTTTTGGAAATTTAGGAAAATATTTTAAGTCTTATAGAGTTTTTAGATATTTAAATGACTCCAAATGATATTTTCCTTGATCCTCAACTTTGACATTGCACTAATGTTAATTTTCTTTAGGCAATTCAAAAATTATACGCCAAAGCCCAAGTTCATGATAATTTTTTAAACCTTAAAGACATTTTTCAGATTTTAGCATCCAATCCATTTCAATACTAATTCTTTCTCTGCTCACTTTAGTTTGCAATGCCTCTTTAATATCTTACAATTCTATCACTTTAATAATTTCTTCAACAATTTAAAAATTAAATCTAGTAGCGAATCTAAATGTTCTTAGTATTCTTAAAGGATCATCTTTAAATGTAATGTAAGGGTCTAAAGGAGTTCGAATAATTCCATTTTCAAGATCTTGCAATCCCATATTGGTAAGATCCTCTATTTCTTAGGTGTTTAAATTGTAAAACATAGAATTAATTGTTAAATCTCTTCTAAAAGCATCTTATTCTGGAGTGCCTACAACAATTTATGGAGTTCTTGAGTTTTATGTGTAGGTCTCTCCTCTCAGGTTTACAAAATCAATAGATTGATCAAGTATTTTAATACAAGCTGTTTCCAGATGCTTTGATTATTCAGGGTTTAATTTTGTTACTCCAAAACCACTAACTTTGATATTTTTAGATTCAAAGTAATCTTTCATTTTGAGTACAAACTATTCACCACTCATATTGTCGATAGTTATGTCAATGTCATGAGATTCATTGCCCATTAATTTATCTCTGACCCATCCACCTGCTACTCTCAAAACTGATTAAGTATTGGTATCATTTCTAAATTACATAATGGTGTTGAAGATTTGATTCTCTTTTTCTGTTATATGGATTCTTTTTACGACTTAAGATTGTTACATGTAAATGAGATTATTTAATTACTTTTTAAAAAAGAATTTTAACATTTAATTCTTTAATTATAAATAGTATTATATTTCATTTCTATTGAATACCAATCTATATCATAGTGTAAGAATTTTTACATCTTTTCCACCTTTTATTGATAAATTTTATTTATGATAATATAATTTCAATATTCTAATCTTCTGATTTTATTAATTCGTAATGTTTCAGCTATATAGACAATTATATACAAATATTAATTAATGAACAGGGAGAATTAATTCAAGATCGTCCTTCTAGGGGATCAAGGTAATTTCTTAAATAAGTCTCAAAAGGAGTAGGCAAAACATCCATTTCTAATGTTTATGTGAAGAAAGAATTTAATTCTTATGAAAATGCCACATCAGGTGCCAATTATCACTCTCAAACTTGCAAAATTGATAATCATCAAATCAACTTTGCCGTAATACTCTATATTTAACGATAGATTTGGGATACAGCAGGACAAGAGAAATTTAAATCTCTAGCAAGGTTATATTATAGAGATTCTAATGCAGCCCTTTTAGTTTATGATGTCACTAACTATAAATCCTTCTAAAGAGTAACAGATTGGATAAATGAATTAAATGAAAATAGCGAACCTGCATGTATTATTATCTAAATATTCAAGTAAAATTTATAGTTGGCAATAAAATAGATCAAGTAGACAAGGAAGAGGTGAGCTATGATGCAGCAAAGCAATTAGCTGAGGTAATCATATTTCATCACATCTTCTTTAGAATTACGGATGTTTTTTGAGACTAGTTTCTGCTAAGGAGAAGAATGGCATTTTTGAATTATTTGAGTCAGTTGGTCGAGAGCTATTAAAAAACCAATAAGACAATTAGAATCCTATGATTAATTAAGCACCTTAGACAACTAATAAACCATTGGTTTAATAAATGCCTTAAGCTTAACAATCAGAAAAATGTTGTTGAATATCATCAATAATCACTCAAATCTACATTATCAATTGCACTCAAAGTTCTAATATTCTATTATGATATTAAATTGAATCATACTTCTAAAATTAATTTACCCTAGCTTCTGTTCTCTAATAACTTCAATTTATTCGATAGACTTTTACAAATATTATTTCATAAACTGATGAAATACTGGGCATTAGTCTATAATTATAATATGGTATTTTTTAGTATTTATATATTTATTATTTTTTCTAGTAATAAATTAATGCTCAAGTTAATAGTATGATACTTCATAGATATGAAAATCCAATGCATTAAAAAAGGTATAAAATCCTTTCATGAGGTATATCTGATTTAATTATTTTAAGGAACTTCGCTAGGTCATGTTTTTTAATAATATAACACATGTATATTCAATCTCATCAATTATGATTTAATTTTATGTATTGATCAGCATAAGACTCTATTTTAATATAGAGTCTGATAACATATTTTCATATTTGCCATATTTTGCCCATCTTTCAAAAAATATTGAAGGCCAACTTGAAATATTATTATTTTTTTTAAGGTAAAAATATATGGATTACATTCATCAAATATTTTTAATCATATATAATTGTTTTTAACATTAAAATAATAATGTTGATCAGCAACAGAAAATATAATAAAACAAAAATATTCAGAAAATAAGCTCAAATGGTATTTAACAAATTGAAAATATTAGAAAGAACCTAACAAAAGACTCAAATACTATATAGTTCAGTTCTCCTTTTAATGATAAATTGTGTATTTTATTGAAAATATAATGTATTCTCAAATTTAATTTCATTTTCATTTAACTAATATATGTCAATATTAAAGATTTTACCAACCTAATGAGCAATCCAATATGATCCATCAATCTTAAATTTTAGCAACATCTAATCCCAGAACACACAATACTTCATATTCCTTTTAAACAATAAAAAAACTAACTAATTATCCTAATTTATCCTTATATTATCAAATACTTGATTTGCCTTAAATTAACAATGTATAAGCCTACCTGATTTTTCATGAAGTTTTAGAATTGTTTCAAACAACATTATACCATCCAAAAGTTGATTTATGTGAATAATTTATTTCCTTTATATGTCAATATTATTAAAACATAAATAATATAATATTTTAAGTTTTAATTTAATTTTAATATAAATTAATATGCGTTTGAGATTGTCAATAATTCAAATAAAGCCTTTAGTATTCTGAATCAATTAAATTACTATGCTTATGTACTCTAGCAAACAAACTTAATAAAAATCAACCAAATTAAAAAAACAAGAGGAATTTCTGAGAGTGTCAACATAGATTGCCATAATAATGGAGATTTTAGGGCTCTTTATTGTTCCTGTTGAATTAAAATTATCCTAGCTAAAAAACATAGTTTCGAGAAAATTATATAGTATACAATTTAATATTAATGTTTAAAATTAATTAATATATATTTTTCTAATTTAATTCATTAATAATTTATCATAACGATAATTCTAATGATACAATAAAAAATCAGCGCAATACCTCTTTATTGATTTTTATTGCATGTTAGTAGAGAAATAGATTAAACGAAGTCAATTTAGTTTAAGCAAATTTTACTTACTATTTACTGAATTGTATCAATTCGATTTAAGATGTGATTTACACATTTTCATCATGAGCGAGATTCTCTAGAAACGCTCCTAATGTGTCAAAGTAATGAATTTTAATATTAATTTTTTTATGAAATAAATTTAAACTAGCTCATTTTAAGGATAAAAATGTTAGCATAAATTTAGTATAACTTATCCATAAATTAAAACAAGAACATCATAATAAAACAAATCTTAATTATAGAGATGTGTCAAAAACTATGAACGAGATGTTCAAATTTTGAAAAATAATGAGACAAATATAAATTAAAAAGTTTTTACAAATATAATACTTAAGAAAATTGCGTTAGACTATAATAAAACTCAGAAATTCGGTAAGAGTAAATAATGATAAATGATTATGAAGAGGTTGAATATCAAATGGAGCAACTTAAGGAGGTCTTTATGGAAATATTATGAAATTAAAACGAATTCATAATTCATATATCTTAAGGTTCTGGAAGGGATTATTAATAATTATAATATATGATATATTTAATCTCTCTCTGTCTATTGAATTCAGTATTGGGACAACTAACCTATGATTCGGGACTGTTTACTGGATTTAGTATTTCATGTAATAGCGGACACACAGAAACTTAAACCATTCCATTTAATGGAATATTTGCAAATACCCCATAAGTTATTGTCAGTCTCGAATATCTTGATATGAATATAGGAGCAGACTTTAGAATTTCGACTCAAAACATTAAACTTAATAGTAAGAATTTCATATATTCTAGGTTTTGATTTACATATTGAATGTTTAACAAGTGCTAATGTGTATAGGATTTACCATTAGTGGTATGCAATTGATGACAGTAGAATCTAAGTCATAAACAACTTTAACATGGTGAATGTAGATGATAAAATATTCGATCACTAGAATCCAAATGCTAATTATGGAATCATATCTTTCATAAGTATGGGAATGACTGGGAATATTGATTTCTAATTGTCAGTAAAAATGATGTAATTATATAGATTTCTTCAATTACTACAACTTAGGTTTCAGTTGGAATCACAAAAGTCGCCGGAAAATTTGCTAATTTAAACTAAATTGGATATTAAATTATTTTAGGCATACAAGAAGCATTCTATGATACAAAAATAATCTACAGATCCAGTAATTATAATAGTGGAACCCTTACTTAGCAACCAGATAGGTGGTTATTTTTAACATATAATGGGTTGCAATAAAGCACATACTTTAGACAAAAATTTGTTCGTACAGCTGTTTCCTAATCCTACACAGTTAATACATGTACATTTTCTGATATATTTAGGGCAAGGAACGTTCATTGTGAATTATCATCAAAGGAGTTGGATAGCCTATAAATATACAACTGAATTTAAAGCCTTTTTGTGTTTTACTTTAAGAATATCTTAATCTCTTGATAGGGAAGTTTCATAAAAACCTTAAATATTTGTTGATATTAGTGAATTAAATTAATCATTCTAATAATCAGGATATTTGTTACTTGAGAAAACAGTAAGCCTATTAAGTTTCAAAATATACATGAAATGTATAAAAACAAAGACNAAATTTAAACTAGCTCATTTTAAGGATAAAAATGTTAGCATAAATTTAGTATAACTTATCCATAAATTAAAACAAGAACATCATAATAAAACAAATCTTAATTATAGAGATGTGTCAAAAACTATGAACGAGATGTTCAAATTTTGAAAAATAATGAGACAAATATAAATTAAAAAGTTTTTACAAATATAATACTTAAGAAAATTGCGTTAGACTATAATAAAACTCAGAAATTCGGTAAGAGTAAATAATGATAAATGATTATGAAGAGGTTGAATATCAAATGGAGCAACTTAAGGAGGTCTTTATGGAAATATTATGAAATTAAAACGAATTCATAATTCATATATCTTAAGGTTCTGGAAGGGATTATTAATAATTATAATATATGATATATTTAATCTCTCTCTGTCTATTGAATTCAGTATTGGGACAACTAACCTATGATTCGGGACTGTTTACTGGATTTAGTATTTCATGTAATAGCGGACACACAGAAACTTAAACCATTCCATTTAATGGAATATTTGCAAATACCCCATAAGTTATTGTCAGTCTCGAATATCTTGATATGAATATAGGAGCAGACTTTAGAATTTCGACTCAAAACATTAAACTTAATAGTAAGAATTTCATATATTCTAGGTTTTGATTTACATATTGAATGTTTAACAAGTGCTAATGTGTATAGGATTTACCATTAGTGGTATGCAATTGATGACAGTAGAATCTAAGTCATAAACAACTTTAACATGGTGAATGTAGATGATAAAATATTCGATCACTAGAATCCAAATGCTAATTATGGAATCATATCTTTCATAAGTATGGGAATGACTGGGAATATTGATTTCTAATTGTCAGTAAAAATGATGTAATTATATAGATTTCTTCAATTACTACAACTTAGGTTTCAGTTGGAATCACAAAAGTCGCCGGAAAATTTGCTAATTTAAACTAAATTGGATATTAAATTATTTTAGGCATACAAGAAGCATTCTATGATACAAAAATAATCTACAGATCCAGTAATTATAATAGTGGAACCCTTACTTAGCAACCAGATAGGTGGTTATTTTTAACATATAATGGGTTGCAATAAAGCACATACTTTAGACAAAAATTTGTTCGTACAGCTGTTTCCTAATCCTACACAGTTAATACATGTACATTTTCTGATATATTTAGGGCAAGGAACGTTCATTGTGAATTATCATCAAAGGAGTTGGATAGCCTATAAATATACAACTGAATTTAAAGCCTTTTTGTGTTTTACTTTAAGAATATCTTAATCTCTTGATAGGGAAGTTTCATAAAAACCTTAAATATTTGTTGATATTAGTGAATTAAATTAATCATTCTAATAATCAGGATATTTGTTACTTGAGAAAACAGTAAGCCTATTAAGTTTCAAAATATACATGAAATGTATAAAAACAAAGACCATTGTTAGTCAATTTCTCAAATATTAGAGTTATTCAACCAGTAACCAATATTATTCATTCTCACATTACTGTCATGGATAAATTGATGCAGTAACTTATTTTCCAAAATTTTAATTGGTTGAATCCTCCTATAAAGAATTAAATATCAATATTTTTGTTGATAGCATAACAATCACATAAACCTTATTTAATTAGGTTAAATCTATAGAAACACTAGTAGAAATCAAATTCAAACTTTGATTGCTTATTCAAAAATTTAAATTATATGATTTAAAAAATTATCTAATATTTTTATCTCCAAACAAAAATCTAATATTTCTCCTGAGTTGATATTTAATTCTTAGAGCTTATGAATTTAATGAAAAATTAACCATCTTTTTGATTCTCTCTTGTTTCCTATTAAATGATCACAATCATCATACATTCAAAAATTGATATTTAATATTTTGTCATATCAAAAATATATTTTAGCATTTTCTCCCTTCAAATTCTAAATATCTCTCATATTCCCACTTACAATCCTTACATTTTATAAAATCATTCAAATTGTAGATTAAATTAAGTTATAGCATAATAAATATTTAATCACTCCACTAAGTAAATTCATGAATCCATTCCATTAGTTTCCTTATTATGTAATGATTTCTAGTAATATTTTCAATATTCAACTATTTTATTGAATATATTTCAATACCAATATATTTCCCATAATCCAATTTTCATTTTTATTATATTATATTTACTTATAAATTTAGATAGATTATAGCTGATTCATATTCATCATTAATAATAAGCTACTTTCAACATCCATCAAATTATTCTAACTACTTTTCAATTTATGGGTCCTCTTATTATTAATGTACTAAACATTAAGCAAAATTGTTATGATTTCACTTTATATTAATTTTTTAAGAAAGTGTAAACTCATAATTTTCATATACTTATTAATAAACTTAAGTAGAGTTTTTTCTTTCTGTGATGTTAGTTAACGGAATACAGTGTATTTTTTATTCCGAATTTCAAGAAGAATGCCATTTAAATTAGTTGGATAATACTATCTGCGTACCCTTCAATTTGTAGTGATACATAATTATCGATCATTCCTTCTTAACATATATTTCTTTAAATGCTTCAATAAAATCAAGGTATTCTTTCCCATATATATTATTTCGAGAAATTCTTGATAGTGTTAATCCTAGTTTTCATACTGGTTGTATTCTATTTCAATAATATTGTTACAAACTTTCCTCCAAAAAGAAAGTAACAATACGGAAATATTTGTTTTGAACTTACTACGATATTGGGTAGCTCCAATTTATTTAAATTATAAAAATATCCTCTAATGATTTCTTCCTTCTTCAAGTCTCCATTTCTACTATATTAAAAATTAAACTATAATTGATATCAAAATTTTCAGTTTTGTTAATATTCTGAATAGTCTAATTCTGGTAAAGACATAAATAAACCAAAAGGAGTTATTTCGTAAATATAAATTGATATCAATAATTTGTTATTAAAATTTTTTTATCTAAAATTTCTTGGTAATGTCATGATTGGTACATTGGGAAGAAGATCTTCCTAAGCCCGGTCCGAATTAGGGAGATAGAGAGAAAAGGCTTAGAGTGGATGAGCCTGGGTACTCACATTTGGATTATCAAAGAAGGTTTAAAGGAATTTCGAACCTAAATACCAATTTGGTTATAGATGGCACACTAAAGAAAGGAAGGAAAAACATTTGATGATTCAATCTCCACAAG